AAGCCAAAGGCCGACTTTTAATTTATCCGTTTTGCATAGATTTATTCAAGAACGCATATTAGCCTAAAATCTCAAAATTGATTTTACAATATTATTATCTTTATGAAGGTTTTACGAGTATATGACATACGTTATATATTAATTGACAAATTGCGTTGTTGGATCAATCTATGCCTTCTTTTTTCTCAATATTCATTAAAAACTTCTTCAGCAAGTGAGTGATACCTAGTTTTAAGGTTTACGTAATGTGCCTTCTCATATAAAGTAATAGTTGTAGGTACAGTCTTTGAAATCGGAAGTATCGTATGAATCTGTTCCCTAGACGAAATGGTTAGCCGCACCTCACCTACGGTGTCACCATTTTGTTTGAGGTCGAAGAATCATTCGATTTTCCTTTTTGAAGCTGTATGCTATTATACTGACCATTTTTTGGTACTGCTCGTTTATAAGAAACAAGTTAGAGATCGGTCTAAGTCCTTAGAATACTTGATAATTTACTCTTCGTGATTATAGTTTGCTTATAAGCGAGTGGAGATCATTTCTAAATGCAGGGTGCTCCACTCAAGTCCATTAGCGATTTTTCTCTCAATCTCAAGAAAAAATCTTCAGGACCTTAGTGAAACACTTTGCATACCTCCGCCACTATAGCTTCTAAACCGCAACGTGTGCTTATAGGTTCGCTGTATTTAGCCAAACTGGGAAACCAGACAAAGAGTCTCCAGAATCCCTTAGGTAACTCCCAGAATATCTTCAGTGAGGAGTACAAGAAAGAAGAAAGTGAACTAGCTGAGAACGACTTCATTAAAGCGTTGTGCTCCAAAATCCAAGGCGAGAAACCTCCGGAGTGCTTCAAGAGTGCCGCCCAGAAACCGTTGCTCCAGGTACTGCCCCAGGTACTACTGGCGACGGTGCTCGCATCGGTCGTACTGTCGATTGTACCGCATCGGGTGTTTTAGATAGGGTGAGGGCCGGTACGATTTTCCTACGTTTTGTTTCTCACGTAGCTATACAGGGTATACATAGGAAATTCCTCGTCTGTGTTTTGGTCCGAAGTTGTTTTGGGTTGCTTGTAGACACACCCAGGAATCGTTTTGGCTCAATACAGAGAGGCAAATTGACGTATGATACTTTCCTTTTACCTTGATGTTTGCAAAATATCTCAATAAGAACTTTGTCAGACTACTGTTATTACACACGTTCTCAGTGATTTTACAAGTTTTTAAATTTCTATGAAAATACAGTACGTGTGGAGAGTAGAACTCTAATTGTTTAAAACTCAAAAGCCTTATCAAATTTTCCGCAGATTTTTATAGATTTTTTCACTATAAACCCATAGTATTTGACACAGCCATTGGTGTAATTGTTTCTGCAACTGTCCTGGCAAAAACACTATTATCCTGGTCTAAAAGGGAAGTAATGTTAAAAATTGTCTTTCTTTTTCCTAGATTGTTCAGTCAGTTGAATATGAAGAACGTATCGTATTATTCCTCATTTGACAGTCGCGCAAAGCCAAACTATGCTACCTCTCTGTCGCTAGTCATCATTTTATTCATATGTTAAGTGGGTATTTTTTTATTTTTGTGTGCATATCTCCATTACCTGACCACCAGTTACCATTTTTAGGCTATGACTTTCCAAGAGTAGCTAACGTGTCACAAGCTATCCTTAACTGTTTGATTATATACCTGATCTGGAGGCTGATTCTAGAAGACAAAGGAGAGGAGTAACCAATGAAAAGTAGTTGTTGCATGATTTTACGTTCAGGGGTTATTTTTCACCGCTTTTGGGGTTTATCAAATGAAGAAGTGGATTTGTGTCAAAATAATAAGTTTATAAGTTTTTGATATAAATAAATGTTTCATCATATAATTAACTTCATCTTTAAAAAGTAGCTGATGGACAGCGCCGAGAGTTTTCTCTACTTAAAAAAACCCCGAGGGAGACTGTTTTTCAAAGATAAAGAAAGGGTGACAAAATAATGTTCCTCAAACAGTCATAGAACCACGCTCATTTCCTATTAGTTATTGTAACTCTCGATTTTCAAGAATTGACATCCTGATTCTCTCAGTAACTATAAACCTTGTTTCGACCAATCACTTAACTAAACAAAATACTTATTACAATACTTGAAAACTTGTAGCAATAAAAATAAAATATGTTTTAAGCAACTTAAAGACATTAGATCGTTCAAAATGCAAGTTGGAGGAGTTTAACGAGAGCAATTTCGAGTCAATTGTAGAATGTATATCTTTCTCTCAGCATACGCTTTTAATTTGTAGTATTAAAGCAACTGAAGTAATTCAAAATATATTATTGCTTTTGCTTGGTTATTTCGAGACACAAAAATATAGTGAGATATTCGAAAACATTTTAGATTTCTCTAAATAGGCTGAATACGATTTCTGGGACTCAAGAGTTTCAAAATGGTTGTGAATAGCACTTATAAATATGTATATACATGTTATGGATATTAATAAGCATAAATATATTTAGCATAGATGCCGAATATGATTTCAACTTACAAATATTTTTTCTGTAATTAGCATTTTGAGTTTTAAAAGTAAAAACTGTTACCAAATAGGTCAAGACTTTTTAACTATAAGCTAAATAGGAATAATATATACACACTCTGAATAACACGGAGATTTTTAATTTCTAACATGGAGGACTCAGAAGTATATAAAACATTGATAGAAGCAGATCCTTAGTTCCACATATCTTTGAAAATTAAAATAACTGAAACTATATGACTATGATCAACAATTGTGGCATCGTACCCTGAAATATCATTGTTATTCTGAAATGTGTCACTTATGAAGCATGATTAATTTCGTCAAATAGAGACAGTAATTTTTGAAGATGACATTATTATAAAAATGCTCACCTCAAGAACTCAAAACAACGAAAGATCAAACATCGGAAGAGTTTTAGCTGAAGATGCTCTGTGGATTTTGTGATGACTGTATATAGGAATGTATAATTGAAAAAAAGTTTTTGATGTTTCATTGGCAAACCAGAATATGGTACCAACCTGTCTGTACATTTTAATCAAAAGATTTTCAACGTGTCTTTAAATTAGGCTATTGTATTAAAAACAATGTCGAACAAGGATGCTGTCATTATTGTTATCAATACATACAAGATTCTAAGGGAGATAGCAAAATTCACAATAGTTTATTCCAAATACATAAATATTACTTAAGTCCCTCCCATATTACTTGAAATTCTATAAGATTTTTGCCGTACTATTTATAGTAGAGTCAAAGTCTAGTTAATCATTTATAACTTCAACATCCTTGTTCATGAGAATAGGTAAAAAGTATCACGTCAATATAAGTATAAATGTGTTGACTCTCAGAAATATGATAAATATGTCTACGAACATATTTATAATGAAAAAAGCAGCAAATGCAAAAGTTAATTAATATCACTAAAACGTTACTCTTTTGTTGTTACTGAGACAATGTGGTATTATAAAACAATATTTGCAATTTAGTTTTTGTGATATACTTGGTTGAATTTATAAGGCTACATTGTTTAGAATTGTTGGAAGGCTCAAATGAAATATAAGAGTGAATTTTCAATTCAGTTTATGTTAAGTTTAAACTGATTTAGCTATGCCAAGCCATTGCCATTCAGCACATACTAGTATTTACAATTCCGTTTAAAAATTGTGCAATAAAGTGTTGCTCTTTCATGCCAAATATGAATTATTGTATTTTTGCAGCTATAATATATCCTTATTTTCGATACTTTGAAAATACTAATTGTTTTGGAGGTCAAAACAAACACATTAAGGAGCTACTGTATGGTGATGTAAGAGCTATTTGGCAAGAATGTAATATTTAAATTCATACATATATATATACCAAACGATTCGTCAGTGCTTATATTCAAATGTGTGACAGAATGTTATATTCAACTCATTTAATTGTAGATAAACGTTCATTAATGTTTGTTTAGTCTTTTTTAACGTCCATATCTCACAGAAGCTAAGAAAGGGGACATTTTATGGATAAATAATCCAATATTATATTGAGCATTAAGATTGAGTTAGAAACGAAACTTGAAACAATTATTTTTCAATTCCCAATCAAGCAAAGTTACCAACAGTATTGATTATTTGAATTACTCATTTATGACATATTTGTGATATATTTTCACGAATATAAAATTACATAAAAATGTATGTGATCAAACAGTTGTGAATAAATTTAGGATTTTAAAATTATAATTTCCAACCTTACGTTTCCTAATTCTTAGATGATAGTCGAAAGTAAGTGTCAAAAATTCAGCTTTTTATGTAAAATATACTTAATACACAATAGAAATCTAGCATAGACATTTCATTCTTATTCATAAACATGTTGAATATATTACTAAGTGTAGATGTTGAACGAATAAAAAGTGGTTGACAATTTTATATGTATGTACATAAAAATCCAAATTATATCGATGAGCTTAAAAGCAAGTAACTTTGTAAGATTTTTTGTGCAGTATGAGTTAGTTGTTTTTCCTTGAATAAATATAATTTGTCGTTCGCTATTATATTATTTCGGTCCCCATAGTTTCGTCTTTGTAACATATATCTATTAAGAATAAACTATTAACCGAATTATGCCTATCATTTTTTTTCTTGTACCTGGTCTCGAATACTAAAGTAACAAGGTAGAGCACATATTTTTTAATCAGTTTACAATGCTGGGAGTTCATTTACGTAAAAATATCATTATACTCATCATAACCGAATATATCAGTGTAAGGCAAATAAAGGTGGTAAGCTTTTTTAGCTTCAAAACAATCCCGAGGCAAAAATTGTACCTCTTTTCTTCAGTTACGAACTTACAAGTTGATATATCCTAATTTCAAATTGAGACTCCCATGATGCAGATTCACACAAAACGCTTTGACAATTCTTATTAATTATCACGAATTTATCGACAGTACGGCAACACTGCTCATTCCCGATTTCCCAAGGTACAAGCTATAGTTTGATCCGTCAAATACCGTTGACAGATTTTTGGCAGCAAAGGAAACCTCTCTTCGGTTTACATTTGTGAATACGTTTATTTTTTGATAAAATGTGGAATTAACTTTTACAAAACCATATTGGAGAGTCTAACCGGAGTTTATGACCATATTTCGTGAATTATAGAGGTGAATTTACTTCAGAAACTTTTTTATTGTGGAAGAATTCTAGGGTATTGCAAGGCTTGCCAGCAATGTACTGTTGCAGCCCTATGTTACAGTTTTATTTTACCATATTTTCTTAATAATATTAAACTGGTGAAGCTCGAGGTCGTTAATTTCGAATTTTTACAATTCCCAATCATTTTCAGCTCTGATAAATTGTAGTGAAACCCTATAAACTTCAACTACCAACATTTTCGTTTTTATTGGAAAAACTTAGGAGTTTATAAAGACTTATCCTAAAAAACTGTAAGATGAGGGTTTCTCTACAAAACACAGTTCTGCAGACCAAGTTTAACAAATCTTGTGTCCAATTATTTGTGCATATGCATATACCCCTCGAACGATTCAAAATGCAAAAGTAGTTTGTTCTCTTGCTAAATTTCAATCATACTTGTACTCAGTATTGCTCTAAACGAATTATTTGTGTACCTATCATTTTTATATTTCACAGGCTTAAGAATAAAAAACTATAAAAATGTCTGACTCAGAAGCTAGCAACTATTCAGACAATGAAAATGCCTCAGAAGCTGGCTCAGTGCGGTCTAGAAGCTCTAGAGGCAGTGTGCGTAGTAGATCAAGGTCACCATCAAGGTCAAGGTCTAGATCAAGGTCTTTGGCAAAAAGTAGGTCCAGATCACCTAGGGGCTCTAGGTCTCCATCAAGGGGATCAAGGTCTCCTAGATCTAGGTCCAGAAGCAGGTCTAGGTCCAAGTCAAGGTCGAGATCTAGGTCAAGGAGTAGATCAGGGTAAATGTTTTTTATCATAACATAGGTGTATAATTTTTGTCAACATAAAAATGAGTAATTTGGGTTCTCTTGTTAGATTCATCATCTACACATCCAACCAAGTAAATAGTTTTTATATAGATTGCAGGTACAAGAGTTTTAGATATTTTTTTCCAAAGAAAATATCAAAACGTAGGAGTTTGTACAGCAAAATTACGATTTTCATAGATTACTTGGGCCTTTCCCATTATTTCTTTAGTTTTATAGGATTGGATTAATTCAATATCAGGCCATTCGTAGAAATTGTGAATAGTCTCCTGACTAATTTTGCATGATTTCTATTCATGACCTAATTTCTAATTTAGCTCAGAAGCAAGAGAAGCCTCAGGCAACGAAGAGCCAGCTGCTGAAGAAGAGGAACCTGAAGGTGACAGCCTAGGCTCGGAGGAATATGACAGTGAAGAAGATGATAGTGACGAGGGAAGCCGAGCTAAGAAAAGGAAGAAAAACAAAGGCAGATATGGAGGGTTCATCATCGATGAAGCTGAGGTAAATATTCAGAATCTTCATCATATATGCTGTGTAAAGGAAATTTGCAACACTTGCAAAACTTAGTAAAACATAACAAAATAAACTATGATTGTCCTTTAGGTGGACGATGAAGTTGAGGACGAAGATGAATGGGAAGAAGGAGCTCAAGAGATTGGCATTGTGCCAAATGAGGTTGATGAATTCGGACCCACTGCCAGGGAGATTGATGGAAGAAGGAGAGGCACTAATTTGTGGGAGTAAGTATCAGTAATAATGTTTTTATTTTATTTATATGATATTAAAGTCTGAAGGCATTTTTTTTACTGGACTGACTAATTTGGAGCATTGGACACATTAAGATGTATTGTGATGATATTACGGACGCCCTCGCGAGAGCATGATCAGAGGAAACAATTGCTGGCGCTGAATTGGGCTTGTCTTCCTGCGCTTGGTCAAGACGACAACAGAACTCCCTGAAATGTGCACAATCTGTGGTCAGGCGCCTAAAGTTATTAAAAAGCCTACTTCCACGTTTTGACTCGTGCAGATGCAAACAATCTAAGGTTGCTGACGAGACTGCTCTCTGGCGGCATGTTGTGTTCTACACGAGACGCGAAATAAATGAGTAGGCCTCAGCAAACAATCCCTCCCCCTTCCCTTCGAGTTCCTAGTCAAAAAAAAAAAACGTTGCATACTTTTCGTACAAATTATAAGTGTACTGGATAAGTTGTCTTGCATCATTGACAGTGGACTGGATTTTAAAAGCTGGGGTTCTTCATATAGTTCAAAATACTATATGTCACTGTTTTCACCTTTCCAAAGTCTTTACCATGCTTGTCAAAGTTTTCATTTCATTTCAAGAGCATATATTCTCAATTCAATATAGATGGATCTGATCTAAGAGCACTTCTTTTAGTGTGTATGCAATTTCATATGGCCATTTTTGTTTTGGGCGATTTCATAGCACATTAAACTTTCTTCCTTCTTCTGTGGTTATGTTGATTTAGTTGTATGTTTGAATGAGTTTGGATTTGTAGTTTGAATAGTGGATGAACTGAATGTTGTGTCAAATGAGGGGCAGTCCACAAAATAGAAAACTGAATGTTGTGGGTAGGCAGTACTCACAAAAAGTCATCTCTTCTGAAAAAAGTTATCGTTAATAACTACAAAATTAAATACACAAGGATAACAAAACTGACCTTCACAGTTGCGGGCCAAAAGCTCCTTGTCTATTAGCTCATTAAGCTCTACAAAACTAAAAAAGAAACATTGATTTATCTATGTTTATCTCTACAAAGTTTGCATACTTAAACAAAAATAATTATGACTCGAGGATTCCCCCAGTTGCCTTACAAATAATGTCAACCAAATAAAATTAACGATAAAATCTTGCTCTAAAGCATATTATTTAAATCTGTCTTGAAAAAATCATCTATACTAAGTGACATATAAATCCGAACACCCAGTTTAAATGGTTTTATTTTAATAAAATTTTGTATAAGTACTTAATGAAGCATAATAAGTAAATGATAAAAATTTCAAAATGATTGCACTGCTTTAAAGCCCTTTGACCTTTAATAACGTGTGGATGCACCCTGATGTGCTACGCATTCTCCAACGCGCCTAGGCATGCTTCTGATCAGGTGGTCAATGTCCTCCTGTGGTATCTCATTCCATGCAACCACCAGCTCCTCTCGAAGTGCTTCTAGAGTCTGAGGAGGACGTTGCAAATTGAGCAATCTCCTACCCATCATATCCCACACGTGCTCAATTGGGGATAAGTCGGGAGATCTTGGTGGCCATGGTAACAATGTGACATCATTATGTTAAGTCTATTGTGACTCTTGCAACATGTGGTCGGGCATTATCTTGTTGGAAAGTTGGATCTGCCAGGGTGTCAAGATAGGGTAAAAGATGGGGTTCTAGAACTTCGTGGGTATAATGCTGCGCGTTCATGTTACCTCTGATGAAGATTGAAGGTGACCTGGAACCATAAGCTATAGCGCCCCAAACCATAACTCCAACAGTGTGATGAACATGTCTTTCAACAAAAAACTGTGGATTTCTCCTTTCACCACGTCGCCTTCTAACCCTGGCACGACCATCGTGCATGCCTAAACAAAATCGAGACTCGTCACTAAAGACAATACTGTTCCATTCCTGATCCCAGAGTGACCGTTGTCTGCACCACTCAAGGCGATTACGTCGGTGTTCTCGAGTTAAAGGGAGGACCCAGTGTGGCCGGTATGAAAACAAGCCAAAACTTCTCATTCGTCGGTAAACACTTCGCATGCCAATATGTCTTCCGTGTTCTGCAAACCATTCATTTGCAATGGACCTGGTAGTGGAGAAACGGTCCCTTAAGACCAATAATCTTAGGCGGCGATCTTCACGGTCTGTTGTTCTACGGCGGCGTCCAGTGCCCCTTGCTCTTTGCGTACGGCCTTCTCGAAGCCATGCCTGACAACACCTAACCACAGTGTCTACACTTCTTTGCACTCTAACTGCAATTGCCCGAAAAGAAAGTCCAGCTTCCCGAAGTCCCAATATACGGCCCCTATCAAACTCACTAAGTTGACGAAATCGTACAGGTCTCCGTACTCTAGGCTTCGTAACCGATCGTAAAGGATGTCAGGAACCAAAATCCGCCAACGTTGATTCTTTACTGCGGCTGAAATATTCATTTTTAGAGCGTTAGTGAATTAAAAAAAAGCAGTATAAAAACCGGAATGTCCAACTGATAAGGCTGAAATTTTTTTCACTTGTTATTTACAGTAAGATAAATACATTCACCAACTTTTCTTAAAATAAAACCATTTAAACTGGGTGTTCGGATTTATATGTCACAGTATATTATATATTGTTCTAAATTTAGTAATATTTTATATGATTAAATACTCTTAGTTTTACAATCTTTTTCACAAGTGCTGGTAAATGGTTAAAAAGTTGTGGTTATAAAGAGGTTCTTTTTCAAATAATGCTAATCTGTGCTTAGGATAAGTATAGTTAAAAACTCTAGTATGACAACTTGAATAACATAATTCCATATCTTAATCTAGATTTAAAATAAGAGTGATACACAACTTTCAAAGTTTTTCTATTCAAATATTTAGCGTAATTCTTATAGAATAACATACCTTTTTGAGCTTATTTCTTAAATAACTTATGTGATTGTTCCACCTGAGGTAACTTTCTAATTTAAGACCAAGAAATCTATTATTGTCAGACACTGTAATTGTTGTGCTATTAAGACAAATTTGATTTTGAGAATTTACTCTGCAGTGAGTAGTTCAAAAAACATAGCACAATTTTTGGTTTGTAAATTGGTTATATTATATCCCCCCTCATCACATGCATTCTCAGGATCTGTAGCAGTTATGAGCAAATTTTTGTTATCTGCATACTTTGTGATTTTACATACATCAGGTTTGATCCAGGTGTGAGTGCTATTTAAAAAAATTACACACAATCGCGCGCGGTATGTTTTTTCAAATTGGCGTCTCCGGTTTGCATTCCTTTGGAACCTCGGATTACTCAATGGTCAATAATAATATTTTTATAGCTTTGTTACAAAGTCTCCTGACTACAGGCGGATGATGGATACTTAGTATGTTCAAGAGAAGGGACTCAAGGTCATACTTGAAAAGCAGCCTATATACTAGTATCTTTCAGTCACTAGAATGCCTCAGAGACAGCATAATTTGGGTTTATACATTACATTAAATTTTCAGCTCCCAAAAAGAACATGATTTCGAAGAATACCTCAGGAAGAAATATTCTGAAGACACTGCAGCTATCAAACATTTTGGAGATGGAGGTGAAGAGATGTCGGATGAAATTACCCAGCAAACATTATTGCCGGGAGTCAAGTAAGTACATGATGTCTACATCATTCTTTAAAATCTTCTAATATATAAGTAATTTCAATGCAGTTTGTTATAATACTGCCTTGTATATAATTTACAGCTATGTTGTTTTCACCAATGATCTTTTGCATTTTTCCACAACCTGAGGCATCTAATCTTTTAACTAGGGATCCAAATCTGTGGATGGTAAAATGCCGAATAGGCGAGGAAAAATCCACCTGTCTCCTCCTCATGCGAAAATTCCTGGCTTATCAAAACACTAACGAGCCTTTGCAAATCAAATCAGTGGTGGCACCAGAAGGTGTGAAAGGTTACATTTACATTGAGGCTTACAAGCAACCTCATGTAAAGTCTACTATTGAAAATGTAGGAAACTTGAGGATGGGAATCTGGAAACAGCAGATGGTCCCTATCAAGGAGATGACTGATGTTTTGAGGGTTGTCAAGGAACAGACAGGTAAAATTGTCAAGCTTTACTTAGTTAAGCATATATTTTCACAGTATTGTTTCATTATAGGCTTGAAATCTAAACAGTGGGTTAGATTGAAGAGAGGTTTATACAGAGATGACATCGCGCAAGTGGATTATTTTGATATGGCTCAGAATCAAGTGCATCTGAAACTGTTGCCACGAATCGACTACACCCGGCTCAGAGGAGCATTGAGGACAACACAATCTGTAAGTCCCTAAATTAGTAGTAGTAGTAGTAGAAAGATTTATTTAGCACATTTGGCTACATAAACAGAACAATTGTAAACAACTTAGAACTAGTAAATTCAAGCCATATGGTGTATGATGTAAATGCTGGGCAACCTATAATTGTAGATTTAACAAGTGATTTCTCAATTTTACTTTAAATTTTGTCAAAGTTTTCTGGTCTTTTATCTCCGAGTATAATTTATTATATTCAATCAACCCTTGATGGAATACAGATTTGTAGCATATGTTATACTTTTTGGTCATTAAATGGAAGTCATTTTTATTTCTGGTATTATGTAAATGATGGTCGACATTTGATGATGTTAAATTAGTTAGACTTGATGGAAGTATATTATTTTTTACTTTATAAATGAATATCATTACAAGATATTTGATAAATTTTTTTACATTGAGCCATTTTAATTTGCTAAGCATTTGTCTAATTGGAGTATATTTATCTTTATTTAGTATTATTCTCATGCACTTATTTTGTAAAATTTGCAGTCTTTCAAAAATGGAATTATTTGCTAAATATATAATAGTCGAACAGTACAAGAAATTTGGAAGAATGATGGTATTATAGATAATTTTTCTGCTATATGAACTCAGACATCCAGAAACTCTCGATAAATATCCCACTTTACTACTAATCTTATTTATAACTTTTTCATAATGAATATCAAAAATTAATCGAGAGTCAACAAAAACTCCCAGGTATTTAAAATTTTCTACGAATTCAATATCTTCACCATCAATATTCAGTTGAACATTTGTACATTGTTTTTTTCCGATTAACAAGGCTTTCGTTTTACTTGCATTTAATTTTAGTCTGTTAGATGCTAACCATTTTGAGACAAGCTTCAAGTCTTCATTTATATAAGAGATACCAGACTGAATATTTTTAGTACTTATATAAATCATAGTGTCATCGGCGAAAATTTGAATTTTTGACTATGGCAGGTAAATCATTTATGTATAAAATAAAAAGAAGTGGTCCCAGGATACTGCCCTGTGGAACACCCAACGTATTTTCTATTTTTGATGAAATAGTGTCATTAACTTTTGTAACTTGCATCCTTTTAGACAAATAATTTCTAAACCAATCTAAAACACTTCCTGTTATACCATATGCCTTCAATTTACCTAACAAAATATCTCTATCAATCGTTTCAAATGCCCTCTTCAAATCCAAAAATACTGCTATGACAACTTCTTCTGAGTCTATGGCTCTTCTCCAATTCTCAGTTACCAACTGGAAAGCTGTTTCTGTGGAATATTTTTCGAAAGCTTGCTTGCGCCTCCACTAAAATTTTGTTTTCTTCTATAAACTGCATTAATTGGTCATGCACTATGGACTCTAATAATTTTTCAATGTCTGGTAACACATTTACTGGTCTCATATCGCTGCATCTTTTAAAATTTTTTATTTTGGGAACTGGTGTTATTGTAGAGCATTTCAAATTTTCAGGGAAAGAACTGCTTCTCAGTGAACAATTGATCCAATTTAATACAGGATACCCCAAAATTTCGAAACAGTTTTTCAGCACGTTCTTAGTAGTCATTTCGGCACAGTTGTTATTTGATTTTAAACTGTTTACTTTATTTCTTAGATAATTCAATGATACGCTGTGAAATTTTGAAAGTGTATGCAACATTTCCCCCTGGAAACTGATTTTCATATAGTCAGGTGCAGCATTGGCAGTACCTACAATATCAACAATACTTTCCACAAAATATTCATTTAGTTTGTTTGCAATCACCAAAGAATTTGTTTCGGTACCGTTTTCGAATTGAACTTGATTTACACAATCATGCGGCTTCGAATTGATCAGTCTTTTTAAAGTCTTCCACATCTTTACACTGTCGCACTTGTTGTTATCGATTTGTTTATCGTAGTATTTTCTTTTTTCTTCTCTAATTACATATACACATTTATTCCTAAGAGTTTTATATACCTCCCAATCATCATTTGATTTTGTGAATATACATTTATTGTATTGTTTGTCTCTCAAATTTTGAGCTGCCTTAATATTCTTGTTATACCAGGGTGTATTTTTTGTCGAGCAAATCACTTTTTTATCAGTTGCAAGATCTAAACAAGTTTTTATATTTCCTATTATGTTGTCATATATTTTTTCCATATTCTCACCAAAATTCCAATAGCAGCCAGCAAGTTCTCGTTCAAGTTTTTCGTACTTAATAGTATTTACGATTTTCTTAATTTTTGTATCAGAAAAATGCCCTACCAAGGGCAACATTGTCCAACTGTGATCGCTAACTTTAGGTGTATGTACAGCTTTAATCCCTGCACATTCGAAATTTACAATAACAAGATCTAACAAAGTCGCTGATAATGATGTTATTCTGGTACTCTCTTCAATTTTTTGCTTGAACCCATAGTTGTTTATGGTTTCTTTCAATTTTCTTGTTTTCATGCTTTTACCATAATAATTTAAATTAAAATCACCTAAAAGTATTATATTGTTTCTAAAATTCCACATTTCTTCGCATTTTTCTTCAAAAAACGTTAAAAATGTATCTGCATCACTGTTTGGTGAACGGTAAAAAGTACAAAGATCATAACGTTTCCCAAATAATTTGAACTGTATATGTGCATACCAGTATGCATAGTCTAAAGTGGTACAATCGAATAATCTGATCTGTATTTATTTAAATTGCATCTTTCATCATCTAGCTGAAATAGAGTTACGTTTCAAGTAAGACTCGGTTTTTTCTTGGAAAACGTTAATCAATGCCTCAAGATACCCGCTGCTGTCTTTTAGACTCCTTTTTGGGCGTCGCACTGTGCGAAGGTTGAAAAAAAAAACAAGTAATGAAAACGAATGAAAATTATTACCTATTTTGGAGTTAATATCTTAACAAGTTTGCCATGGAATCAAAACTTTGCTTACTTTCATCATCGCAGATTATCAACTTAAACTTGTACCAAACATTGTGTTGTGTGTTGAAAGTACTTGTTGTGTTCATGTATGCTGTGAATAGAACGGATTACTAATTTCAGGTTCACTTCTTTAAATTAGTATTATTCACAGAGGTTTTCAATAAATTTCCGCCGTTTGGCCCAATTAGAATAATTTTTTGTGAACCATGAAGTACTCGCACATAATATCTGGGTTCAACTTTTGCAAACTGTTGATTAATACAACCTTATATCCTGCAATATTATGGGCTTAAAATTCCTTTCAAATGTCTTCCCAGAGACGAACGGATCTGTGATTTGGACTCAACTACTGGACTTATTTGAAATTTGCCCTTGAAGTGACCTTGGAATGATCTTTAGATGTCATTGTATTGACATCTGATTTTGACTTAGTGACCAGAAAAACTTAAACGACTTGTGGACGGGGTGAACCACGCTACTCAAAAAATTAAAGGAGCAAGAAAAAATCCAAATTTTTCAGTGATTTTTGATAGGTTGTATTTCTGTGGAAAATCGTCGTATCTAGACCTAATGGACTAAAAAGGCAAACATTTTTCAAAAAACTTTCCTCACGTTATCTGTTAAAATTTTCTGAGAGCCGTTGCTCCTAAAATTTTTCGGCTGAAGAACGTAAAAACTATAATCTTAAAGCTCTAAGATGCCTTTGTCTATATACGAACATTTTTCACCAAAATACAGCTCTTCAATAATCACCGAAAACTTAGACTCTTTCCTTGTTCCCTTAATTTTTTGAGCAGTGTATTTGGCTTCTTTTGAAAATGTCCTTGATATGACCTTGAAGTGACCCTCATATGCTCTCGTACAATCAAACTAACCTTAGATTTTGAATTTGGAAAATTGTAAATACCATAGAAATTGAATTTTTTGTCAGCTTTTCGGTGTCTAGACCAGCGGTTCCTGAAGGGCGGTCCGCGGAAACCTGGGGTTCCGTGAAAGGGTCACAGGGGTTGCACGACGATTAATAATTTGTTATTTCTTCAAGCCTAATATGAAAATATTCAATCTGTAAGATTATCGGTCGCTTCAGTCTAATCCAGAAATAGAAAAAGTTCTTTTGACTTTGAAAAGACCTCTAGGTATGCTTTATCTGAAGTCACTTGAAATAGCATAAAAACCTTTGGTCGGCGCGTCCTTTGTAATTTCATGACGTATCATAGGCGTGCGGTCATTTATTTAGAACGATAATAATAATGTTTCTATATCACAATAAATGGATTTTACTATCTTCTTATTTTTTTGATTTGGGATAAAAAATACTTATATTGGGAGTTTAATTTATGTTGACTGAAAGTTAAGAAATGGAAAAATTACAGGATTCCAACGTTTGACATAGGCAAATATTTACATAGCAGGTAGGTATATAAAAAGGTATATAAAGACTTACATTATAGGTATTTATATATCATCCTCGCCTTCGGAGCTGTCGCTAGAGTCATCTTGTAGAGGAATTACAACGAGATTTACAGGAGGCAAAACACAATATTCATTTTCTTTTTCAATAATATGCCTAGAACACTGCTTCCATAGATCTGTGGCAGCAATATGAGATACTGCATCTCTTATTGTGGCCAATAGCGATTCACTTAATTGAGGGGTCTGATTATGTTTTCTTACTTTTTTTTTAAAGCAGCCCAGACCAACTCAATCGGGTTAAAAATGCAGTAATAGGGAGGTAGACGTAATACTTCATGGCCATTTTGCTGAAGCAGATTGTCAACAACATACTCTTTTTCAAATTTTTGTCTTTTAATAAGATCCAATAATATGGCTTTGGTTGATTTTTGTGGTATTTCCATTCCCTTATCCTTCATAAAATCAATAATGTCTTGTTTTTTTGTGCCTGTATTCGGAATTTTGTTTTTCTGTCGGGAATGGTATGGCGCATTGTCCATAATAATCACTGAATTTGGGGAAATGTTTGATATTAACTGCTGCTCTATCCACTTTTCAAATAAGTCGGAGGTCATGTCCTCATGATAGTCGGCACATGATTCTTTGATATTTTTGGCAGATAACAGCAAGGCATTAGGTATAAATCCATTTTCACTGCCAGCATGGAGAATAATGATTCGTTTTCCACGGTTGCATGGTGCATTTAAAATGCACTTGTTGCTGGCGTCAACCCAGCCGTACTGCACAACATCATGGGTATCATACCACGTTTCATCCAGGTAAATCAGATTTCTTTTCTGCTCTCTATAGATTTTAACTTTGTGCAAAAATTCTTGGCGCAATTCAACGATTCGAGACGACTCCATAATCATCATTCTTTTATCTAATTTTTTGTATTGAAAACCACACAGTTTTACAATACAGTGCAGTGAGTCTAAGCATTTGTAATTATAAAAACTTCAGGATAATCTTTCAATTTATCCCGTATCATTTCCAACGTGGGCACCAAATTTTCTTTATAAAATCCGTATATTATACGACGAATATCTTCCTGAAAACCCACGTCTACTCTTTTTAATTTTTGCCCTATGCGCTTTCTGTGGAAGGAATGGTTGACTACATCTCCCCTTTTTATAACCCGATAAATGGTAGACCGACTGATTTTTGTCAGGATACAAATTCTGTTTAAAATTTGATTTTGCGAGGAATCTGGATTTTCGTTTTTCAAACAATCATACATATTTAGGATTACTCTTTGGGTCTGTTCCTATACATCTTTATGAAAGAATTCTGCCTGCAGAGGTTCATCAACCATCTCCTCGAGGCTTGGAACATTTTCCCAAGGTCTCCAAAGAGCCATATTTAGGACACAAAAGAACAATCAACACAACAATTAAATCAACAAGTAAACTGAGTATTCAAAAGTCAAAAACACACAAACTAATAAAATCTATGAGAAAACACGGACAGACTAAAGAAAACACGTTTATTCACCGTTACACGGCACTGGCTAAACTGTTTCAATTTTCAGTAGCCACCTGCACTTGTTCGGAGCTCTGAAATACACGCTTTCTCATTGGCTATGTCCACGCATAGGCGTGCTTTACTCCACGTGGACCGGTGAAACTGCCTTTGATCTTATACGGGGGATATTTGCTGCGAAATTTCGCGATTTTTGCAGCAACAGAGCGTGTTAAATATAGATATATAAAACGCACCCGGTATTTCACAGTGTTTCAAGTGACTTCAGATAAAGTATACCTCTGTTAATTAAACATCTGAACACGAAATTTTTCTCCATTTTCAGTGCTGGGGTCAAAATTGAGGGTTTCCTCCAAGGTCAAAGTCAAGGTCACCATTAGATGTGCTGTTGGGAGTCCTGCAATTTTTGCATTAAAATTTCTTCTTTACTATTCTTCTATTTCCAGCTATCCGTTGCTTCACAACATTCCATGATGGAGCAACAGATGACCTTGAAATAACCTCTAGTTGTAATTTTAGCTTCTATGATAATTATACTGTCGAAAAGGAAATTTTTGTGGCATTCTGTTTCTGCAATAAAAAATAGGCCGTTTGATTTACTAAAACTTTTGTATTCAAAGTTTTTTTCTAGCACCCTTAGTTTCCGAGATATTTGGGTGTGTCCATACTTTTTGGACAACCTGTATGGTACCTTCAGGTAGAATACGCTAAAAAGCGTCTAAGTGAGAATTTCGGAAAGTACACCGTTGAATGCCTGTTTTTGCTACAGTCTGCACTTATTTTTTCAGGATGCGGACCTAGACAAGCGCAAGAAAAAACGCCGTCCTCCCAGCAAACCTTTCGATCCTGAAGCGATCCGGGCGATTGGCGGTGAAGTAACCTCAGACGGTGACTTCCTCATCTTCGAAGGTAACCGGTACTCGCGCAAAGGCTTCCTTTACAAAAACTTCACTCTAAGCGCGGTGATAATCGACGGTGTGAAACCGACTTTGGCGGAGTTGGAACGGTTCGAGGAACAACCTGAGGGCATCGACTTGGAGCTGCCGCCTGATAAGGATGATAAGAGTGTCACGCACTCTTTTAGTGCCGGTGATAACGTCGAAGTTTGTGAAGGAGAATTGATCAATTTGCAGGTAAGCAAAACCATAAGTTTTCACATACATTTACAATGGTTGTTCTTTACATTCCACCACTAATCCTTTTTGCAATGTAGTAGTAGTAGCATGGATTTACTTAGCTCTCAATGCTACATAGAAACATACTTCATATACAGGGAGACTTTGAAGTTGAGTCATTAATTTTCAGATAATGATTGTAGAAGGGAGATAAACCAAAATATGTGTGTAAAAATAAAAAAAAAATGTTACCTTGTTTTATAAAGTATCCTCCCGACAAGTATTTCAGTGCGGGCCTGTATTTGATCGTGCGGTCTTGGAGCACCGGCATGCCCTCCCCTGTGAGGTCTTAAGTCACCTGATTCACGAGCCCTTTGTACTACGTTCAGCATTTTCGTAAACATGTGCCATTTTTTATTTCGTTTGAGCCACGCAACAAACACCACTATTCACACACGCGTTACCGACTGACACATCGACTAAATACAACTGAATAAAATTGTACATTGTAGTAAAAACATCGTTTCAAATTCTTTCGCTTTTTTGTTTCCGATGCGATGAACGGATAAGGCGGATTATATCCGTTGTTGCCAAACACAAGCACATAATATTATTATTGAGACAGGGCGGTACTCAAACTTCTAAAGGGCTATAACTTTGTTACTTTAATTTTGCCAGAAAAATGTTAAAGGAGAAAAACATTTCTTTTGATCAGATCTACTCACTGTTAAAATAAATGACTCAACCCTGTATATATCCGAGGGTTCCCAACGCTGTAACTTTGTCGCGCGTGATGTTAGGCGAAATCTGGCAACACCGTCGTGTTTGTCGGCTCCCCCACCACGGATCCCAATAAGAAGCGCCTATCGGCGACGCTCATTACCGGCCTGACAGTCATGCGCAATGGAGCCCTTCATCGACGTCACCGCCAGGTGCGAAATTCGTGTGGTCATCCGATTTTTGCACGCAAAAACGTTACCACCCATAGAAATTTATCGCCAGTTGAGTGAAGTATTATGGGAAACGTGTAAAAGCATTCAACATGCCATGCCCTCAAACGGTAAAGAGGGTTCTTTAACGACCGCATGGACAACGAAGCGGATTTCCTTGAGGCGGGAGTGACAAAGTGGATTCCACGTCTAAAAAAATGCGTTGAAAAAATGACGACCATGTAGAAACTTAGCTTAAAGATTAACGTTACCAATGGTGAATTCGTTTTTTTTAAAAAAAAGTCCTTGTGCTTGAAAAAATGTGGGAACCTTATTTTTGAGACAAGCCTCGTTGCATATACAAAGGATTTTTGTCTTTCTAGTGTAATGGAAGTAACAAAATTTTTTTGTAAGTGCCCATATCTCTGAATCAAATAATAAAGCATATAATAATAATATGCATTTATTCGATTCTTTGACAAATACATATTTTGGGTAAGGTGAGGTACTAAAAATTTGAAATTAAAGAATCGCAATGGCGGAGTTACCTTAAGGTATTTTTCAACTCAGCCATAAAATAAAATTACCAACATGAATAAGAAAAGTGTCGTAAAATAATGAATACCTTACATGTGATTTGTGATAATTGCCTAATAATGTTTAAGTCTATACACCTTCGGAGAAAACATTATTATACATTATGATGAGGAAGAGAGATGGAAATATACAAAAGTATGTAGGTGCGTGAAAGACACTCGATTGTAGGATCCTATCTGGCAGCGTCGGAGTGTGACGGACAACGGGGTAAAGTAGAAGAGTGATAAAAGAGAGATGGCAGAACGGACGCTGGCGCCTGCTGCTTAGACGGATGCGCTCAACAAATGCGATTTGTTTCTCCCATTCGCAGAGTTGCCGATACCAATATGTCATATTTCTAAGAAATCTACGTCTACCCAAATTTCGGGAAAAATAGCTGCGGATTCCACATAAGAGTATTCCAAAAATGAAAAAAGTTCAAACTATTAAAATTGTATTAATGTTTCATGGTTCAAATCATATTTTTCATGTTTGTATATTGTTGTATAAATGATTTTGTAATCCCTATTCTTGTTGCCAGTAGAGATACAACAGTATTGAGAGAAATCATGGACCGCTAGATAGGGCTACAACTACCATATGACTATAAAATAGTACTGATAAACAGGGTTTGTTTATAGCACAGTTGCCTGGTGTGGCGAATTTGCGCCATAGGGGCGATTTGACAACTTTGAAGGACAACTATAACGGGTACTATGGTGCCCGGTATTCGGGAATCTGGCAATACCTGATGATTCCTAATGTTTATTACGCCAGATTGTTTGCTGACTTGCGCAGTACAACATGACAATCAACGTGACTGAGCACCTGGTAACCCTGGTTTAAGGTGTTATATTTAAAGAGCTTGGGGCAGTTAGGTATCTAGGTCACATGTTTTAACGTATTTCGAGAAATCCGTAATGTTGAGTAAATACTAGTTTGCTTAGTGGAAATTCTACAATAGACGCACATTTTGAGAAACAGAGATTTGGTGACGACAAAATCGTAAAAATATAACGCATTTTCGTAAAATAATTTCTTTGTTGAAGAGACTGTGGCTTGATGACCCATTGAATGAGGATAGTGTCCCGCTCCGCTTTGAATATTCGAAACACTATACTCCAGCAGCATTCAGCTTCAATGTTATCTTTATGAAGTTCTAACGTCTAGGCCATGCTGATTAAAAGCTTGAATGAATCAACACTTAACTCTAAATTCCCCACAATTCGGGAAGCTCTACTCAAATTGGCAACACAGCGTATCTGCCTATTATTCTCATTCGTGATACAGGTCTGCGGTCTGCTGCAAATTTCAGTATTCGTTGAGTCGATAGAAGAAGTACAGTAGATGCGCGCATTACGCACCAGTTCGATTGGACGTCCTGTGAACCGATTTCGGTGATTTCGAGATTTCACGAAATCACCTAAATCACTCTACTTATTTTTATGAATGGATAATTGGTTTTGTAGCAATAAAGGTTGCGTCTCATAACAAAAATAAGAAGATACCCACTCTAACAAAAAATAGTACACTCTTAAAAATGTGTAACGAAAATAAAAAGATATTCTAACAAAAAAATAAGTTCTCAAAAATAAAACGCAATAATGAACACAAATGTTTCAAATGGTCCTTTACAGCTGGGGCTCAAAAATGTCTCCTTCATTCAATGAACAGTATGTCAGGCGGTTATAAAACTCCTGACGAACTCTCAAGAGGGTAGAAGGCTGTATTTGCCCGAGCGCTTCAACGATTTTCACCTGTAGGTTATGCAAATTGTCTGCTCTCTCATTGACAGTGTAAACAGTACTTTTCACATAACCCCACAAGAAAAAATCATTGGGCGCTAGATCGAGTGATCTAGGAGGCCATTTTATTGTTCCGTTACCGCCAATAATCCGATGGCCGAACACACTTTCAAGGTAAGTGTGTACGATCGCCGCATTATGCGCCGGGCATCCATCTTGTTGGAACCAAATATTAGCGAGATCAATGCCAAGCTGCCTAATTGCAGGAACAATCTGCGTCTGTAGTAACGCCAAATATTTTGCAGCCGTAAGAGTTCCATCAATAAAGAACGGTCCGTTAATGTTATTACCTAGAATTCCTGCCCACACATTCAGTTTCTGTGGATACTGCGTGCGGACGGGAATACTGAGGTGTTTATTTTCCCGAGACCAATACCGAACGACTGAAGGATTGTGATGACCGTGGAGAGGGAATGTGGATTCATCAGTAAACAAAATGTTACCAATAAAACTTCCATTCCTGTTCGCCTTCTCCATGACCGTTTCACAAAACTCCATTCGACGGTATTTGTCTAAAGGAAATATTTCTTGAACCGTTCCAACCTTGAAGCTATGATAGCCGTTGCGATGCAAAATATTCCTTGTTGTTCTGGGTGTGAGATCGGCTATTGGTACCATTTCAGCAATTTTTCTGCTTGAGCATGGCTCAGACACTTCTGCAGCGGCACAAACAGCAGTTTCGATCTCCTCCCTTTTCTCGCTAATTTTTGGTTTCCAACCTTCAGGGTGCATGCAGCTATGGCACTTATGTAAGCAGCACACCCTCTTGAATTTTTCGTAGGTATTTATAACCGTTGCGTGAGACGGAATTGGCCGATCTGGGAAGCGTACCGCAAATAATTCAACAACCGCGCGTGCTGAATTATTCTGGATGTACCATTCTATCATTTGAAACTTTTCTTCTTGCGAGTACATTTTTAAGATATTTTGGATTAAATAAAGACGCACCTTTCCTACACAAAACCCAACCGCAGAGTGAGTCATGAATCCCTTATCGCACTTGACAACGGCACGCGCGTTAACGGTAGGAAATATGTACGAATAGCGATGAAAGTAGACGAGCCGATGCGCTGTTGCCAAGAAATGATTTCCCATGTATAACAATGGTTTTTCCTAAGGTGTATAAGTATACATGTTTAAATTTTAAGTCATTTAATATAAAATCATGATGTTCATATGATATGACTCGAAAAATCATACAGTCAGTTTTATTCCTGTTGAATTTTAAAATTGATCTGTTTATCATCAGGTAGAGGAGGTGGATAGAAGCATTGCTCTTAATTTTTTCTTAAAATTTATTAGACTGTAATTGCGGTACTCAGTTGATAGGTTGTTGTAGAGTTTAGCCGCAATGTATGTTCTTGTATAACGATGTTGAGTAGTGGGGTATAATTAGGGATTGACTATTTCTTGTTGCTAAGTTGTTAACATAACATCTTCAAATTTTTGAAGCTTATTGAGAAGGTACTCTGGTTTCTTATTCATTAACGTCTTATGGACTAAAGATAGTGAATGATAGATTCTAAGATTATCTAAATTTAATTTACCGTTTTTCTTATAAACATGACTGATATGGTCGTATTTTCTAATGCCAAGGCAATAACGGAAACAAGAATTTTGGAGTCGCTGCAGCTTGGTCTTATCACTTTGCAATAAAGTGGTTAGTGAATCACAGAGCTGTAATTTTAATTTACTATTTAGTAAATGTCTTTGAGGATATAATTGTTTGAGAATACCATACGATTTTGAACATAACTTTTTTATATGATGGTCAAATTTTAGTTCATTATCCAACCGTAAACCCAGATTTTTGCTTACAGATACAACTGGTAACGGAATGTTGTTGATGTTAAGGGGATATGAAACCCACATATATACCTAGCTTTAAAAAATAATAGTTTTCCCATAGTAGCTCTTACCTCTTATTTCAACCCCTTCAAGTCAAATTTCCACAACAAAAGGTAGCCTATGTCCGTATTCAGGGTCTAATCTAAAATTAATCATATTCGGTTCAGCCGTTTTGGGGTGAACAAGGAACATACAAACATTTATAATATTAGTAGAGATTTATGACTATGTCGACTGGACTATGGTATTCCACGCTGCTGACTCATCGTCCGGTATCAGTCGACTTTGCCTGCCCTGCCCTCTGTGCCTGTATTTATCTTCGAATCGACGAGACCAGAAGCGCTGCCGCGTTTTCTGGGCCGAACTCGAGTTAACAAATTCTTTACGGAAAACAGATTTGCAACTTTTGGGATAATTATTAGAATTCAAATGAAATTCAAATTTTCCTTTAGTTTCTTATGAATTTTAAGCTTAGAGATCAAAATCCCTGAGTTTTATAAGACTTGGCGATGATCATTTTTTATCTCTCTCATTACAGGGTAAAATCTTGACTATCGACGGAAACTCGATAACGGTAATGCCCAAACATGAAGATTTGACAGAACCAATCGTTTTCCAATTCCACGAATTAAAAAAGTATTTTAAAATGGGGGATCACGTCAAAGTACTGGCAGGTAGGTTTTTACCTTTTTTTCAAATTCTACATCATTTACATTTCTAAATTTCATTTTTTTTTCAGGACGTTATGAAGGCGACACTGGTCTAGTCGTGAGAGTGGAAAATAACAGAGTAGTGCTGATATCTGATCTGACAATGCATGAAATGGAAATTTTACCAAAAGATCTGCAATTGTGCACTGATATGGCTAGTGGAGTTGACTCCCTGGGAAAATTTGAATGGGGAGATCTGGTCAATCTTGACGCTGAAACCGTAGGTGTGATTGTGAGATTAGAAAGAGAGAATTTCCACGTTTTGAACATGCACGGTAAGACTTTTCTTCAAGCCGGTCGCAGATAGATCGTAAAACAAAATGTCTCGATCTGCTGGCAGTTCTGACAGATCAAAACATGTTTTTCTAAACAAAATCTACTTTGGCTTTTTGTACATTCTCACACAGATAGAAATTTTTCTAGTTCAAGACAACTTCTCTGTACACAATCTTGGCTCCTAATTCAAATTCAAAATTCCTTTAATGAATAAAATTACAAGTAATCCATTGTAACAATTGAATAATTAGGCGTCAGTACATAAAAACCATTAACCAGGCAATATATAGTAATAACAGAAAATTAAAATACAAAAATATACACACAGCACTGCTTAAGGGTTGGAAAACACAAACTTATGAAGCAGATCACTTTTCACTAAATAAAATAAAACAATGACGACATTTATTTATTTATAGCTTTTATTGCCCAACAGATAATATTCCCTTTATAGGCCAAAATCTTAAATTAGAAATATTACAAAAGCCTAACTTATAAAACTCTCTAAGGCGCTCCCGCAAAACACCTTTCAGCTCCGAAATAGAATATGTCACAAAACTTACAAATACTATTATAATTCAAACACATAACCCTTTCAGGTGATTTCAAAATCAAATTTGTGTTTGCATGACTGCAAAAGAAAGTAACATTACATCTTGAAACGGATCTTGGCGTTAAAAACTGTAGTTGTGATAACAATTCCGAAGAAATCATAGTGCCATGCAAGAGTTTAAACAAAAAAATAACAGAACTGTGCTTCCTTCTCATATTCAAAGACGTCATTTTAAATCTGTCTAACAGAATTTGATAGTCCGATCCACGTTGAGGGTAGACTCTATCGCACTTAAAAGCTAGATATTTAAGAAACTTTTTTTGAACATAATCTATCCTGTTTATACAGGGTGACTTTGAAGTTGAGTCATTAATTTTCAGATAATGATTGTAGAAGGAAGATAAACCAAAATATGTGTGTAAAAATAAAAAAAAAATGTTACCTTGTTTTATAAAGTATCATCCCGACAAGTATTTCAGTGCGGACCTGCATTTGATCGTGCGGTCTTGGAGCACCGGCATGCCCTCCCCTGTGAGGTCTTAAGTCACCTGATTCACGAGCCCTTTGTACTACATTAACAGAGGCACGAGGGATTGGTTGCACTCGATTGGGAAACCGATCCGCATAAATCCGTGATGCCGCGTAAATAAGAATCATGTCCACAAGTTCAGCATTTTCGTAAACATGTGCCATTTTTGATTTCGTTTGAGCCACGCAACAGACACCACTATTCACTCACGCGTTACCGACTGACACTGACTGTATACAACTGAATAAAATAATTGTAAAAACATCGTTCCAAATTCTTTCGCTTTTTTGTTTCCGATGCGATGAACCGATAAGGCGGAGTATATCCGTTGTCGCCAAACACGAGCACATAATATTATTATTGAGACAGGGCGGTACTCAAACTTCCAAAGGGCTATAACTTTGTTACTTTAATTTTACCAGAAAAATGGTAAAGGAAAAAAACATTTCTTTTGATCAGATCTACTCACTGTTAAAATAAATGACTCAACTTCGAAATCACCCTGTATAACAGTTATAGTAGGGATTCCATATTAGGGATGCATACTCTGACATTGAATTTGAAACAGGTTAAAATTTGTGATCTACAAATTGCTCCACCATATAGGTTTCAATTCTCTGCGGATACTCCATATGCTATTCTTAAAAATATTAAAATTATTTTCCACCCTTCTGACGCGGTGTTTTATTAAAAAAATATATACACGAGTAAGTAGTGCGCTTTTCTGTTGTGGTAAGTCTGTATCGAGAGTAATTGAGTCTATGATGACTTCATGTCATTTGGAAAAATAATGCCACTTATCCCCTGTATCTCCGCCACTGGTGTACGTTAATTTTATGTAAAGACTGTGGACAATACTTAGGCAAATCCATATACCGAATTTTAGTTCATTCCAGTTGACGGTTTTGAAGATACTAATAAAAATGTTACATAGAAGACCCCCCTTAAAATGCGGTCCTGTGTATGATATTTCATTTTTGGTCACGACTTGTGAATCACCCTGTATATATATATATATTTAGATATATACAGGGTGACTTCGAAGTTGAGTCATTTATTTTAACAGTGAGTAGATCTGATCAAAAGAAATGTTTTTTTCCTTTACCATTTTTCTGGTAAAATTAAAGTAACAAAGTTATAGCCCTTTAGAAGTTTGAGTACCGCCCTGTCTCAATAATAATATTATGTGCTCGTGTTTGGCAACAACGTATATAATCCGCCTTATCCGTTCATCGCATCGGAAACAAAAAAGCGAAAAAATTTGAAACTCTCGTGAATCAGGTGACGGCATGCCGCTGCTCCAAGACCTCACGATCAAATACAGGTCCGCACTGAAATACTTGTCGGGAGGATACTTTATTAAACAAGGTAATTTTTATTTTTTATTTTTACACACATATTTTGGTTTATCTTCCTTCTACAATCATTATCTGAAAATTAATGACTCAACTTCAAAGTCACCCTGTAAATATTTATTTAGAGATATATAATCGTATGCAATGCTTTTTGTTTACTTGTATCCATGTTTTGATTACGTCACTGTATAGTTTATTCCACACACTTGAATCAAAGCTTATCAGGAAAATTAAATCTTGCTCTTCATTGAATACTCAATTAACAAAAAGATATACCAACAATAAACTTGAATTTTATTTATGTACTTAGGTTAAAGATATATAAAAAATTAAAAATCTGTATTAAAAAAAACTCAAAATAACATTTTCATATAGTGTCACAGTGAGAATAGATAAATTTATTATGAAACAAAAACATACTCGTTGGTCTGGAAATCAAGTTAATTTTTTTATTCAAATATAACTACAATTTTATGTTATCACCCTCAAAATAACTTCCTTCTGAAGCCACATAGCGCTGGGGACGGCTCTTCTATTCCTCATAGCAGTTCTGGAACCCCGATACTGGAATATCCTTCAGCTGCTCGGTTACTGAAGTTTGAATCTTGTCGACTGTCCTAAAATGAGTTCCGTTGAGGTGATTTTTCAACTTCGAGAAGGGAGTAAAGTCACAAGGACTCAAGTCAGGCGAGTAATTAGACTGAGGAGCCACACGAATGTTTTTACTGGCCAAAAACTCGTTTATTGACATTGCTGTGTGACAAGGAACATTACGAGTACCGTGATGCAACATCTAGTTGTTCTTGATCTGACGAACGGTGGTATGAGTCAAATTTAACTCTTCCCAGACAATTCTGACTGTCAACCGACGATCTGTACGCACAAGAGCCCGGATTCTGACGATATTTTCATCGGTTCTAGAAGATGAAAACCATCTGCCTCGTGGTTTCTCTTCAATCGACTCTCTGCCTTCTGAAAATTCCTTAAATCACCGAAAAACCTGGGCTCTTTGTCAAAAGCACTAGCTCCGTAGGCATGCTGAAGTTTAGCAAGCTTTTGTTGCACTGTGTCCAAGTCTTAAGCAAAACCTTATAGCACACAAAAAAGTCGCTATGGAGAACCACATGACTCGAGCGAGTTCAAACTTGTACTGAAGACGGATCACATGTTTCCCTATCTCCACTCCAAGTCCGACGTCTCCAGTATTGCCAGATCGAACGCTACTCTGTCAGTCTCATTACTTAATTCATAGACCTCGGACAATGCATTTCTTATCGATAAGCGAAACATTTGTTTATCGAGTTATAATATCACATCGGGTCCTTTGACTCGGGTGCAAAAACCAACAACGATCAGAAGTCTTCCGTCGCGAAACGAGGTTCTGCGAAACGTACCAAGTGTGTAGCCATGTGATACGAAATGGCTACCTCATACATAGTACTGAGGAGCCGACGCACCACCCATTTAATCACCATCAGGCACCTGATGTTCTTGATTTGGCATTATCCAAAAACTGTAGCTACAGTATCACTTCTCGAATCATGTATGACATCTCAAGCGATCATCTTCCCGTCGTTTTGGAAGTGGCTAATGAGCAGATCTTGGGGGATGAAATCCCTCCAAGGAAACGCATTGATTGGGTATAGCTATACAAGTCGCTCCTCAAAGAGTTCCCCAATATACCGATCATACGTATAGATGATGAGAACGGTATAGATGCGGCTCAAGCAGAGTGGACAAGTTTTGTTCAGCAAACTCTGCAGCGTGCAGCTGTACTTCCCGTGCAAGCGTGAACAAATCCCACACATTCACGGTCCTGGAGGCATTGTCTTCAGGACAGAGGAGAAGGTTGAGGTTTTCGCCGATGCCATGGAAAGACAGTTCTCTCCCAACTATGATCTTGATAATGACCTCGACGAGGAGCAACACATCGTAAGATCTGTCAGGAGATATTTTAGGGCCAACGGCGTCAGTGACAGTCGCGCATTCGTTGGTGATTTTTCTTCATCATAAGATTCTTCTTCAGAAGCTTCTTCAACCGAAGATTTGCTTAGCACATCAGCGGTATCTCCTGAGATCCCGCATTGCACACCAGCAGAGATTCAAGGTCATATTAAAGACCTTAAAGTGCGTAAAGCACCTGGGGAGGATCAAATCACTAATAAGGCGCTGAAGCTGCTTTCGCGGAAGTCCTTAACTTATCTCGTGGCAATAGTCAATGCCATGCTAAGGATCCAGTACTTCCCATCCGCGTGGAAGACCGCTGAAGTTATAATGATTCCAAAGAAGGTGGGTTCGATATTTCCCCAGGATTATCGTCCCATTAGCCTGCTGTCAGCTGCGTCTAAGCTCGCTGAAAAGGTGATTCTACGTCACCTTGAGAATTTCTCGTCAGATCACCATGTGATTCCTGACGTGCAATTCGGTTTTCGGTCTGAACATAGTACGGAGCTACAGGCGGTTAGGCTGGTGGAACGTGTAACCAGAGGATTCACCCTTAACGAAAGTACTGGCATCTTGCTTTTGGATGTCTCAAAAGCATTTGACAAGGTGTGGCACGCGGGCCTCTTGTATAAACTAATCCAAAAGGGTTTCCCTTTTTGGCTTCTAAAACTACTGAAATCCTTCCTTGAAGGTAGGAAATTTCGGATCAAAATTGACAACGTCCTGTCGACAACACGGCTGATTACAGCCGGCGTCCCTCAGGGTTCGGTCCTTGGACCTATCCTTTACTCACTGTACATCCATGACGTCCCTAGTCCCAGCAACTGTGAAGTCTATCTCTATGCTGACGATACTGCATTGGTGGCACAGTCGTGGTCTGGTGACCTAGTCCATGACAGGCTGCAAAGTGCGGTGGAGGAAGTATTAGATTGGGCGGATCGGTGGCTAATTAAAATAAACCATTCGAAAACGCAGGCAATCTACTGTACAAAAAGACGTCGCGGCGTTCCGTCTGAAGTTTCAATGAATGGACTTCGTATACCATGAGAATCCTCCGCTTAGTATCTCGGTGTCATTCTGGACAAAGGGATGACTTGGCGGAACCATATGGAAGCGCTAAAAACTAAATTCCAAATTACGTTTCGGCAGCTTTACCCATTATTATGTAAACGGTCAAAATTAAGTTTGATTAACAAGATACGACTCTATAAGGTGGTCATAAGACCAGCAATGACTTACGCATGTGCGGCTTGGTGTTTTATTGCTAAAACACACATGCGAAATCTGCAGGTTCTGCAAAGCAGGACGTTGCGCACTATTGCTGATGCCCCATGGTATGTCTCTAACGAAACTCTACATAGAGACCTCGATGTCCCTTACCTAAAGGATTACATTAAGCAACAGGCGCTGCGGCGCTATAGCCTAGCGGAATCGCACAGCAACCCTCTGTTGCGTGAGTCAGTGGACTACACAGTCGAGCAAGTTCGCAAGCACAAAAGGCCGCGGCTCGCACTGTAATCAAAATTAACTCGTGAACTTAGAACAACCAAAATTGGAGCATTTTTACACAATCTTTAGAAAAAAAAAAATCAAATATTTTTAGACCATATCAAAATCTGTGAAGTGATTTTAACAGTGCCTAAATGCTGCCTATCCTAAAAGATTCTCTTCTTCCCCTTTGCTCTCGTTCTTCCTTCTCTCCTTTCCTTCCCCTTTTTTCCTTAAAATTGTCTGGTTTCTCGGTTACCAGAGCTGACAGACTTACAAACTGACACTGTGACTCAAGAGCAAAGGTCCCACGGACCGCTCTGACAACCAACGATGACTTGACCAAGTGTGTCTCTTCTCTACGTTATTTGCTTGCCTTTGGCCAGCTTCGCGAGTAGCGAGTGTTTATGATTGTTTCATTACAGGTAAGGTAGTTGAATGTAGACCTGGTTCTTTACAAAAACGGAGCATAAGTAAATACACTGCAGCAATGGACTCTTATAGAAACAGTCTTCATCGTAGGGATATGGTGAAGGTTATTGATGGTCCACATAATGGATTTTCTGGAGAAATTAAACATCTTTACAGGTAAGAAAATAAATTACAAAGTTTAGATTACACAGGAATTGTTGAAAAAACTAAAGTCTTGTGAAACTTAACCAAATAGATTTTCTTACGGACTCATATTCCTCCATAGCCTTCTAAAGTGTGTTAGATCTGTGATTACTAAAAATTGTAATACAGCTATCCTTAGACCCCTTTTATTTGTAGTTTTTATAAACTAAATGTCATTAGATCTTGATTATTAATATGAAGCATTAATTTCCCAATATGATGATACTAGTATTTTTGTAACTGTATAAAGCACTGAGGAGAGCGATAAGGTTTTAGAATGGTTTACAAAGAACAAATTAGTGTTAAAAGCAGAAAAAACAAATATGATTTTTAAGTCCAATCATGGCATTTGTATTCTACCTTTCTCAAATAGCTTTAACAGACAAAATAGAGCTTGAATTGCACTATAACACCAAATTTCCTGGAATATACCTAGATGATGCGCTCAAATGGTCGCAACCTATAAAAACAAAATAAGTTAAGCAGTATATGTTACACTCTGCAGGTTTTAAACAACTTGATTTCGATACTCTAAAAATTATCTAACATGCTAATTTTGAATTTATCCTAAGTTATGAAATGCTTTTTTATGAGCAAATCGTTTATATAAATCGACTTTTTATAGTTCAAAAAGAGCTCTGAATCATGCCACGGAAAACTAGTTTTAATAATACTTTAGCTGTAACTGCTATTTATTTACAAGAAGTCTTACTGTTTATCTTTAAAAATCGACCCCTACCAGGGGGTAAATATAACTCTAGAGATTTCAATTATATATATACAGGGTGTCCGCAAAGTTGGGGTTGTCCTTTTCAGAAACAACTACCCTTGAAATAACAAAGGTAATGTGTAGTGAAACGAGGGCGACCAAGTAAAAAAAAATAAAGGAAAAAGTACTCACTCTCCAGTTGACGAGAAGGGCTAAGTACGTCTCTGCCCGAAATCATACCGCTCCAACAGAAAATGAAATCAGCTGATGCGCTACCGAGCAGACGCAGGCGGTGGTGCAGACCCCGAACAGAGGTAACAAATATGACGGCGTTGCCGCGTTTTCAGTTTTTAGGTAAACGTACTTTATAGGCATTGTTCGAAGTTATCGCCGTTTGATTCAAAAACACAGGTGCGTGCACGACGTAGCCAAGCATCGGTGCAGGCTTTGAGAATGGAGTCCCTCCCCCGAATGAAAGCACCAGCTTGTTCAATTCTGAGACGAAGTTCGTCAACCGTATGCACTTCAGTTTTGTACACTAAGCGTTTCATTTCTACCCAAAGAAAAACATCACATGGTGTTAAGTCTGGAGATCGCGGAGGCCACGCTACGGGTCCATTACGTCCGATCCACCTATTCGGAAATAATTCATTCAAAAACTCACGCACTTCGCGTCTAAAATGGGGCGGTGCACCATCGTGCAGAAACCACATTGATTGTCTTACACTTAAAGCCACATCTTCTAACAAGGAAGGCAAAATGTTGCGTAAAAAGTCTAGGTATTGCATCCCGTCCAATCGATTTGGGAGAATAAATGGTCCAATGAGCATACCGTTCACCATGCCAGCCCAAACATTCACCGAAAATGTTTGTTGAAAATGTGCCCGACGGACAGCGTGCGGATTTTCTACTGACCAAACATGAGTGTTGCGAAAGTTATTCACCCCATTATCTTTGTACATTGAGTGAATAAATATTATTATTATTATTATTATTATTACGCGTGAACGTAGATTCGTCTGTCACCAATATGCACTTCAAAAAGTCCGGATTATTGTCATGTTGATGCAACAACCACTCACAAAACCGCACTCTTGCTGGAAAATCGTCAGGTTGGAGGACTTGTACACGTTGGACGTGAAACGGATACAGCCCCTCTTCACGCAGCGTTTGCCACACTTTAGTTTTTGATACTTGCACTTCTCTAGTCACGTCTCTAGTGCTTGTTGAGGGATTCTCGTCTACGCGATTCAGTAGTTCTCCCACAACTTGCAACTTGTCTAGACCTCCCACTGTGCCCACCTCGAAATTCCTCCAAATGGCCCGTATCCCTGACTCTCTGGACCAGGTACATAAATCTGCGGGGCCTTGGATGATGTCGTCTAGGGAAACGATCTGCATACACTCGCGAACCCTCTGTAGCATTTTGAAGACATTCGCTATAAATTAACAACATATTAACGAGTTCATTATTGGTGTATGAGTGTGCCATTATTTTTTTTTGAAACGTAATTGATTATACGGGTTCGTTTACCTCTACACGCGTGACCGTAACCGTCGGTTGAAGGTTGCATACTGACCTGACACACTGACCCCGACCCAGTTCTGTCGTCGGGTTAAGCCAGTGACCTTGTACCACTCGGTGTGTAGCGGGTCGCGGCTACAGGACAGTATTCAGATATTTTTGATGTTGCAGAGCCCTTTATCTCGGTTCCCTTAAGACATTGGTGTATATGGTACTAAGAAAAATTGCTTATGTTTTCAAGATCTACACGTCGTGTAAAGGAAAACCCCAACTTTGCGGACACCCTGTATATCCTATGTACCATCTCACTTTAACAGAAAGGAATGTAGAATATAGTTGTTGGGAAATTTTTAAAGTTCTTCCTCCAGATATGAAAAAATAAGTAATTGGAATTTCTTTGAAAGAAAAGTACAAAAATTTTTGGTAGATCCTTATTGTCTCGATGACTATTTAGCACGATTCTAGTTTTTTCTCTCTAAATATTTTTTTGTTATGACGTTATTTTACCTAACATTTAGGGTAAATGTATTTTGCATTGTTATTTGGAAGTACAAATTTGTTGTTGTATTGTAATGATGTTTTTTTGCAGGAATTTCGCTTTTCTGTATTCAGTGGAGTTTTTGCAGAATGGGGGTATATTTGTATGCAAAACCAAGCACTTGCAACTAGCTGGTGGTAATAAGAGCTTACCTAACTCTGACATTACACTGGGAATGGAATACATGTCTCCAAGGAGAGCCTCACCATTGCATCCGTCTAGCGGCGGAGGAGGAGGTAAAATATTCCTTATAAATATTGTTCTTAAAATTGGGACTTTCTTTTACGTAGTTTCGTATAGTTATTCCAAAATAATAATATTTTCCAATATACAACACAGTCGGACTGACAAACCGATATAAACGAGAAACATGGACTTGTGTTGAGCAGATATCTTTAAGAATAGAAAACGTTTTAATAGTTCTTATATATTTAAAATTGATTTAGTGTACGGCGGAAATACAATCGCTGGAACATAGTGTTACAACATTTCAGAGAATCCTGCTCATTTTCAGGCATTGTTTGGATGGGATGAAAATTTTAGGTTGGAAGCTGAAGATGCGCTAAGTGGTTGTAAATTGTTGTGTCTTTGGTGTCAGTGAATGACGTTCTGTTATTGAGACGCTACCGATCTTTTAGACATAATAAGTCACACATATGCTCCCTACACTTGCCTTGGAAACAGAAATATGATAGATTTGCTTTATATACGAGGCACGTCCAGAAAGTAAGTGTACTCAATTTATGTAGGGTTCAAAAAAAAATTATTAAAACCATAATATACTTGGTTACACTTGTACATATGTAAGTTATTTTTCGACATAGTCACCATCCCTCTCGATGCAAGTGGTGAGCCGCGGGATCAATTTTTTGATGCCGGCCTCGAAGAAGTCTCCCGCCAGCTCTTTCGCCCACTTCTCCACCTCCCCCTTCACCTCCTCGTCCGTTGAAAACTTGTTTCCACCCATGTGCCCCTTTAGGGAAGTGAAGAGATGGAAATCTGAAGGAGCCAGGTCAGGGGAATATGGGGGGTGATTCAGAACGTCCCATCCAAAAGAGTCCAGGAGTTGCTTCGTGGCGTTGGGCGTGTGGGGTCTGGCATTGTCGTGCAACAGGCAGACTCCCTTCGTCAGCATGCCCCTCCTTTTATTCTGAATCGCCCTTTTCAATTTTTTTAGCGTCTCACCGGAGCTTTTCCCTTCACAACGAGGTAGCGAATGACGGCGCGAATTTCGCACTTGGCGGGAGATACGATCGACATTTTTCGCGAGAGATGTTACTGCGTCAAGAGTTTTCAACACACTAACCTCAGATTGGTCTCTTTTTGAAGGGGAGGGGTCAGGCTACGCGGCAGTGTTGCCAACATGTCGAAAAAGTATTCTCTACAGCTGTGAGAATACCAGTACACTTACTTTCTGGACGTGCCTCGTAGTTTGATATGCTGAGGCCGAAGATTCATCATACCTAACTGACCCTACCTAATTACGATTCGACTTCGCCATTTGATACGACTTGACTTTACTTAACGTCATTTTTTTTCAGTTGTTGGTGGTTTTGCAAGTCCCAGGGGTGGCGGAGGCGGTAGAGGCAGGGTAGCGAGAGACAGAGATATAATAGGAACCACCATCAAAATTACCCGTGGTCCTTATAAAGGAAATATCGGTATTGTCAAAGATGCTACCCAATCCACTGCTAGGATCGAACTGCACACGTCTTGTCAGACCATATCTGTAGACAGGAACAACATTACTGATGTTGGTAGGTTGCTTTTGAATTACTTTTAATCATCTAAATAATGATATGATAATGCCTATAGCTATACTAGTTTTTTTAAATTTGACCACCACCATTGGAATCTCGGAAACAGAAGAGATACGAAGTTGCTTAAATGCGGGTAAAGTTGAGTATTTAGATAGCTAACAAAATGCCTCCTAGAAAGTTTCTACATTTAAAGTACTTCCGGAGAGAGACTGAAAGAAACCGAATTTTCCCAAAAAATTTTCCTGAATTTATTTGTAGTGAGAATAAATCCCACATTAACATTGCCACTTTTTCTCATTTACAAGATGGCGGAAATTGAATTTCAATACGACGTATCGTCTCTTCCCATCCAGCATCAACTTTATTTTTTCTTATGAACACCATATTGGATTTTTGCACAGGCGAATAGTTTTTAATTGAAAAACAATTTCCTAAGTAGTAACACTTGAAAGGATCAGAGATAGTCATTTGTTTCATATAAAGGGTGTCTCATAAATATTTTCTTATTTTATGCCATAAATAAAAATACTTAGAATATTTTCACAAAGATAAATTTATTACCAAACGAAAGCCTAAACATTAATTTTATTTATGGAAAAGAGTATCGGATAAATGAGCACCGTTCATGTTTTCACACTCTCTTAATCTCGAACTGAAGTTTTCGATCACTCTCCGAAGCATTGCTCGAGGAATGGCGTTTATTTCATCTGTTATTTTTTGCTTCAACTCTCTCAAATCTTGTGGCGGTGGGGTGTATACCTTACTCTTCAGGTATCCCCATAAGAAAAAATCTGCTGGTGTCAAATCGGGACTTCTCGGTGGCCAGTTAATGTCTCCTCTGCGACTGATGACCCTCTCTGGGAATAACTGATGAAGAGCATCCAAGGATTCATTCGTGACATGAGAAGTCGCTCCATCTTGCTGGAAAAACGTGTTTCTATTGTAGCCACCATGGTTCTGTATAGCTGGAGTTAAAAAAGTCCTAATCATGTGGCAGTAGCGCTCAGATGTTACAGTTTGAGCTTGGCCACGATTGTCTTCAAAAAAATACGGGCCAATGATTCCTTGCCCTGACATAGCAGCCCAGACGATAACTTTAGGCGAGTGTAATGGCGTCTCATGAAGATTTTGCGGGTTCTGCTCGGCCCAATATCGGCAGTTTTGTTTATTAACATGCCCGTTAATGTGAAAATTCGATTCATCAGAAAACGATATGTTGTTGTAACCGTTAAAATGCTCTCTCATTGTTCTACAGAACTCTAATCGATTAGCGGGATCTTGTGGTTTTAATTGTTGTGTAACAACAATCTTGTATGGGTGAAAATGCAAATCCTTGCGAATAATGCGATGAACAGTTGACTTATGCAAAGTTAGAGACGCTCCACGCAGTCTTAATGATTGCCGGGGATCCTCGTTAACGGACTGGCGCACACGTTCAATATTTTCGTTCGATCTTGCTGACCTTGGCCGTCCAGGCGGTTTACTAATACACGTGTTTCCAGTGCTCTCGAACTTTCTTACCCAATATTTAATTAAATTTGCGCTTGGGACATCTCTCATTCTTGCTATGTTATAATGATTTCTGTACAAACGACGTACAAGCACATAAGAATCCTTGTTTTTATAGAACTCGCGAACACAAAAAGCACGTTGCGGCCCTGTAAAACGCTCCATTGCAACTAAAATTTAACAATGTTGCCAAACGTTTGTCAACTGTCTCGTTTCTCCGGAGCATGCGTATTCCGCCAGAGGACTGATCTAAAAACCAAAATATTTCTGAGACACCCTTTATATACATATATCGCAAACTCATTTTTTATTTTTCCTGACTTTACTTGAGATGGTATTTCAAAATAAATTACACATTGTCATTCTCACTTTTTTTCCTCTACAAGATGGCGTACTGAAATTTTCAATTCGAGGCTTCTACTTTCGACGTGCATCACAAACTGATTTTCGATATGGTCACTGTATTGGAATTTTTTACTTTTAAAGGTAGTTTTCAGCCCTAAATTCAGTTATATATTTCCTTAGTTTGGCCATGAATTTGTTGTTGGAATAAAAATTATAGGAAACAAAAAGGTAAGGTGAAACCTGAATACGAAATGAAAATTTCATTGATAGTAATAACAATAATAATTATAACTAAGCAGAGGTAAATCATAGATGCTCAAAACCTTGTCCGTTATTTCGAAGGCTAGGCCTGACTTTTATCTGTACATTGTTCACTGTTCAGTTTATTTCTCTTTTTCTCAGTCTTCCAAACTCTGTTACTATTCTCACTTTGAAGTCTGGTCTACTATACGAAACAAACGACCATCTGATAAGTTCAAGGCCTACCTAGGAAATCCCGTTTTTCTGACATAAATAGAGTTGTGCAATGTCAACGTCTGACATAATAATCATTTTTAGAATTAGAATTATATATTCTATTCATCTGTGTAAAAATCCAATATGACGTCTGTAAGAAAAACTAAAGTTCATGCTGCAGGACAAAAGACAAAACGTCATATTGAAATTCTAATTAGGCCATCTTATAAACGAGAAAAAGGGGTAATGCTGAAATCCCACCTCAAATAAAGTCAGGAAGAAATTGAAGCGATCTTGGGAACAATCACCTTGTTCATCTGTCTCCGGAACTACTTTGCGCAACTTTGTTCCCATGTAATCGACTTCGTATCTATTGCCGTTCCCGAGACGGTGAAGGTCGAATTTGAAACACCCGGTATCCTGAACAGGCTGGAGAATTTTCCCATGAAATCCTGGTCCCAACACTCTCGGGATTTCCAGGAAATTTGAATCGGATTGCAGAACCGGGATCGAAAACCGTGCCCACCTTGTCACTTTCAAGACTAAGTAAAAAATAAACTTATTAGTACAAATTTGAGTTGCTCCAATTCTTGCTTGCGTTCTATCGCCTTTCCTTTTTTTACTGGGCGGGAGGAGGTCTCTACTTTACTTTCTAGTTTGTTGAAGACTGAATATTGTTTCTTATAATAAAACATATAAATGGAATGAAATGCCGTTTTGTACAAAAAACTACATTTGCCAAAAATTTTACAGAATATTTTTGGAATTAACCAAAACTGAATTTGACCCTAAAAGTCCGAAAAATTCGAGACACTGTCTCATCTAGTCCCGAAATTCCCATTTTTCTGTAAAAATACTGGTCCTTAATTCACTACTAGCTTCGTACTGAGCTTTTGTTTGTTTGTTGAAGATTCATTTGCGATTGATGCGACAATGTCAATTTTGTATAATTATTCGTTTACATACTTTTGTGAATCAATTTTCTGTAATTATACATTCTTGCCTATCAAAATTACATCACTATGCATTTTAAGTATTTAACTTTAAACATTTTTAAATTGGAACACCATTTAATATCGTTATTCAATTCATTAAATTCAAATACTCCCTTTTGAAATACAGATTTGCTAGTATGCTACTATTACAATTTTGCAAACTCTATACTGCCTCTGGTTTCGTAGTTATGATAAGGACTATTTAATCTTGTGACGGTTTCTAAATGTGGTGGAAGTAAATGATAAAGTTTCGCCTGATCCACCATCGAATTCATTTGGGACTGTCGGACATCCGCTATTGGAAAGGAATCTTTACCCTGGATTTCCGGTTTTTAAATTAATACGTTTTTGTTTGCTTTTAGGTACTCCAGCGAAGGATGGCAGTGCTTCAAGTTATGGCAGAACTCCAGCTTACACTGGGAACCAAACGCCGCTGTACAGAGACGCCGGAAACAAGACGCCAATGTGCGATTCTGGTTCTCGCACTCCGCTGCATTACGGTTCCATGACGCCCATACACGATGGATCCAGGACGCCGAATGCCAGTTCGGAGTGGGACCCGGCTATATCAAACACTTATCCTTCTCCTGGGTACAATCCAAGTAAGTATAATCTATTATTTTGTGCTTTGGTGACAGGTTTTATGACAGATTAAAATCACATATAGTGACGACACTCGACCCTACGTGAACGGTGAATAAATATATAATAATAAATGGTCTTTATTTCGTACAAAAGTACAAAAAGGCGAAGTGTTGCTAAGAATAGCGTTTTTCCACGTAAGCTTTGAAACAAATAAAAAAATATAATACTGAACTAATCAAAATACATCCATATTATGGTGAGTAACAGGCAGATCATTATATATGTATAATTTAATAGCGTTGTAACTAAATGATTTTTTGTAGACAGCTTTATAATGTAATAGTAGTAGTAGTAGTAGTAGTAGAAAGATTTATTTAGCACATTTGGCTACATAAACAGAATAATTGTAAACAACTTAGAACTAGTAAATTCAAGCCATATGGTGTATGATGTAAATGCTGGGCAACCTATAATTGTAGATTTGACTAGTGATTTCTCAATTTTACTTCAAATTTGGTCAAAGTTTTCTGGTCTTTTATCTCCGAGTATAATTTATTATATTCAATCAATCCTTGATGGAATACAGATTTGTAGCATATGTTATACCTTTTGATCATTAAATGGAAGTCATCTTTATTTCTGGTATTATGTAAATGGTGGTCGACATTTGATGACGTTAAATTAGTTAGACTTGATGGAAATATATTATTTTTTACTTTATAAATGAATATCATTAAAAGATATTTGATAAAATTTTTTACATTGAGCCATTTTAATTTGCTAAGCATTTGCCTAATTGGAGTATATTTATCTTTATTTAGTATTATTCTCATGCACTTATTTTGTAAAATTTGCAGTCTTTCAAAAATGGAATTATTTGCTAAATATAGAATAGTCGAACAGTACAAGAAATTTGGAAGAATGATGGTATTATAGATAATTTTTCTGCTATATGAACTCAGACATCCAGAAACTCTCGATAAATATCCTACTTTACTACTAATCTTATTTATAACTTTTTCATAATGAATATTAAAAATTAATCGAGAGTCAACAAAAACTCCCAGGTATTTAAAATTTTCTACGAATTCAATATCTTCACCATCAATATTCAGTTGAACATTTGTACATTGTTTTTTCCGATTAACAAGACTTTCGTTTTACTTGCATTTAATTTTAGTCTGTTAGATGCTAACCATTTTGAGACAAGCTTCAACTCTTGATTTATATAAGAGATACCAGACTGAATATTTTTAGTACTTATATAAATCATAGTGTCATCGGCGAAAATCTGAATTTGGCGTTTTTTGACTATTGCAGGTAAATCATTTATGTATAAACTAAAAAGAAGTGGTCCCAGGATACTGCCCTGTGGAACACCCAACGTATTTTCAATTTTTGATGAAATAGTGTCATTAACTTTTGTAACTTGCATCCTTTTAGACAAATAATTTCTAAACCAATCTAAAACACTTCCTGCTATACCATATGCCTTCAATTTACCTAACAAAATATCTCTATCAATCGTTTCAAATGCCCTCTCCAAATCCAAAAATATTGGTATGACAACTTCTTCTGAGTCTATGGCTCTTCTCCAATTAATAATAATAATAATAATTAACGTCTTTTATTTGTAATATTCTTACAGGAGGCGAGATTTAGATTATATATCTATTCTACCAGTTACCAACTGGAATATTTTTTTCGAAAGCCTGCTTGCGCCTCCACTAAAATTTTGTTTTCTTCTATAAACTGCATTAATTGGCCATGCACTATGGACTCTAATAATTTTTCAATGTCTGCTAACACATTTACTGGTCTCATATCGCTGCATCTTTTAGAATCAGGGCATCACTAAAAATTTTCTTTTTCTTGTATGTAGTTGATTTATGTCGCTATATCATGCTTACTTCTTATGCAAATATCCTGGTTGTTTGGTGGTTAACACCGTAAGTGTGAATGTCAATAAGTGGAGCTTTTGCTTGCAAATTTATGAGAAATATGATCACACTTTCGTATTCCGCAATAAAATCTGACGCACGACTTCTGAATATGCTGTAATCTGCTTTAACGTAATAAGTGATTTTTGACAATAATCTTTCACACAGTTTAGTTTCAGTGAAGTAGGCGTTATTTCCCTATGCGGATAAAATTGCTTCAAAATGCGATACACGACATAATGAATTCACATGCTTTTTGTATTTTAGTTGTGAGTTGTGTCAATTCAGAGACCAATAATTTCCATTTGGAACGATATTCTTTCGATTTTTGGGCCAAAAACCATTACTGAAGCTTTAGATGGATTAATTTTTAAGATATGCGAGCACCATATGTCTACTAGCCTTGTTTAAATCTTCATTGATTAATGCCTTTGTCATTTTAAAATCTTTGTGTTGAAAACTAAAATAAATTTGAGTATCATCGGAAGTAACGTTTATGACCTAATTCATAACTGCCTAGGTAACGCACAACTGAACGCAAAAAGTGTGGATGCAAAATACCTTCGCTTCGGAGAAAATCTGGTTCAAAGGGTTATTCGCAAAAACATAACAAAACGATCAATTTTTTTGCCACTTCGGGCGCTAATCCCGTAAGCTTGTTTTCCGACCAACGAGCTTAGAATGAATGAAGACTTGAAGCTTGTCTCAAAATGGTTAGCATCTAACAGACTAAAATTAAATGCAAGTAAAACGAAAGCCTTGTTAATCGAAAAAAAAAAACAATGTACAAATGTTCAACTGAATATTGATGGTGAAGATATTGAATTCGTAGAAAATTTTAAATACCTGGGGGTTTTTGTTGACTCTCGATTAATTTTTGATATTCATTATGAAAAAGTTATAAATAAGATTAGTAGTAAAGTGGGATATTTATCGAGAGTTTCTGGATGTCTGAATTCATATAGCAGAAAAATTATCTATAATACCATCATTCTTCCAAATTTCTTGTACTGTTCGACTATTCTATATTTAGCAAATAATTCCATTTTTTAAAGACTGGAAATTTTACAAAATAAGTGCATGAGAATAATACTAAATAAAGATAAATATACTCCAATTAGGTAAATGCTTAGCAAATTAAACTGGCTCAATGTAAAAAAGTTGATCAAATATCTTGTAATGATATTCATTTATAAAGTAAAAAATAATATATTTCCATCAAGTGTAACTAATTTAACATCATCAAATGTCGACCATCATTTACATAATACCAGAAATAAAGATGACTTCCATTTAATGACCAAAAAGTATAACATATGCTACAAATCTGTATTCCATCAAGGGTTGATTGAATATAATAAATTATACTCGGAGATAAAAGACCAGAAAACTTTGACAACATTTAAACTAAAATTGAGAAGTTCACTTGTTAAATCTACAATTATAGGTTGCCCAGCATTTAACCTCATACACCATATGGCTTGAATTTACTAATTCTAAGTTGTTTACAATTATTCTGTTTATGTAGCCAAATGTGCTAAATAAATCTTTCTACTACTACTACTAGACGGCTAAGATTTATGGGTTATTGACTCAAGTTTTATAATTATATTGATACGCACAGAGCCGGTATTTTCACACTATTAGACCAGAAGGCTGTTTAAAATATTGGATTTCCAAAACTTGTCTCCTCAACCTAAAACTCAATTTAGATAATCTTTAACCTTGATTTCGAAATAGAAAAATTATTTTTTTTTTGTGTGAGATGAAAACCTCAAAAAACCATGTTACCTATTTCTATCGACCTGTCTTCCGCTAATTCTTAGCTCACTCATAACTCGGAAAGTACTAGTCAGATTTTGTTGAAATTTTGACATACCTTGCCAACGATAAAAGCCTTATACGATTTGAAAATCGGCCCGGTGGTGAGCGAAAGGCTAAACATTTCAAATCTTCGTGTTTCTGGACGTAGTAAAAAAGTATGGAGGAGAAAACGTTTTTTAAAAATCTCAAACTTAGTTGTTCGACTTTTAGCAATTTTATGATCATTCCATGCATTTCTAATGTATGGTGTATCACTGACGCTTGAAATTTTCATCTACCAAAAAGGAGCTGTTTGGGTCTGACAGCGAACACCAGAGGAATTTGAAGTAATTTTTGCCAGTTTACAGATCTGAGGCTAGTTAAAAAAATTCTTAATTTTCTGAACTGAATCGCATTTTCTGTATAACATCACCAAGATTGTGCATATTAACCTTTATTGTTATTTTTTGAGTAGTATGATCTGAGATTAATGAATTAATCACATTAGATACATAAGTTGAGGTATTGGTGAAAATGTCAATACAAGATCCACTGGTGGATGTTATGCGTGTGTATTGGAATATAGTTTGATGTAAATCATATGAATTTAAAAGTGAACATAAGAGTTGTTTGTTCAGACTTTCCTGAGAAAAATCTATATTGAAATCACCGGCTATGAAAATTGTGGCACTGTCATCGCGGATTTTCAGTAGAATTCGTTCCATTTTTTCTAAGAACACATGCTTATTACCAGACGGTGGTCTATATATTGACAACATTATGAAATTCATCCCATATAAGGAACATTTTACTGCAGCACACTCCAGGGAACCTTGCACAGATAATGATTTTATATCTGACCTTTCCGAGCACTGAACTCCCCCACCCTCACATAAACTGCACTCCCACCATGCTTCCCTTGTTTTCTGCAAAAACAAGATGCTAACTTGAAGTTCCTAATTACATAGTTGATAATTTGGTCTTGACTCTTCCAGTGTTCAGTGATGGAAATGAATTTACAGTCACTATTATTTGCTATCATCTGGTTTACCTCATTTATTGAGTTTCCAAGCGACTGGACGTTTTGATGGCGTAGAGCTATTCTGTTGCATTCCTCCATTTGCTTGAAAGAGCCATAGGTGTCAGACTCATCAGCATCAATTTGTTCCCTGTTTAAGTTTGAAAATCCTGGCTGTAACTGATCTTATTTCTAAACCTCCTAATTCTCGATGTGTAGATTGAAAAATTTGGGTAGCGGGCAAAGTGATTAAGGTCACTATATTTCATTTTTCGACAATTTACACATTTAAGATCATGTTCCTGCAGCTGGTGGCTTCATGGTTACCTGAACATTTGTAGCAACATGTCTGCTGTTTGCAGTACTTAGCAATGTGACCAAAATTTGAGCCTTTAAAACAGATTGCCAAATTAATGTGTAAACCCTTACCAAATCGAAGTTTATCTGACCACGTTTTAAGAACCACTTAGCAATTTCGGGCGGTGCTTGTAAAATCCAGTTTTCTTTATGTGGATTACGGCAGTTCTTTGTAACGACCTTGACTATAGACTGTAACACTAGTTCAATTTAGCTTCAATTTCATTATTCAGCCTTATGAGCTCATCTATGAATTCTTTTGCCTCGTATCCTTTTTCAATTCCTGTGACCATGAACATAGGATCGATTCCATCTGATGTTTTGGTTGTTATGTCGTTCTTATCTTTCAATATATTTTTCAGCTTCTGTTGTTGTCTTTCAGTGTGGCTGTCTACTATTACTGCCCCTGATTGTAATTGTCTAATATTTTTGAAGCCTCCTTCAGTATCCTTTTGCGTCAACTCTTGTTTAAGTCTACTTAGGACCACCATAGGATTTTATGTTTTTTCCACTCTTATGATTGACTCAAGTTTCCGATTTTCTAGTGGAGTCGTCCATGGTTCTTCCACTATGCTTATTGATTCTTTGGTTGTACTTGCTGTCTTTCCACCTACAATACTGGCATAACTTCTTGGTTGTACTATTTCAGATCTACTAGTCTCTTGTTTTCCTTGCACGTTCGATAGGCTTCGACTAGAATCCGTGCGTGTATACTTTGGCTGGCTGTTTTCTATTCTAGCTGCTAACACTACATTCTCTTTTTCTAGCTGACTGACTTTGTACACAACTTGTGTCAGTAATTTTTGTATATTCATAGTGGCTTGTACGATGCATGTTTTTTATCTCTATCGATGCGCCTGCTTATGTTATCAATTTTATCAAAAAAGTTTTGAATTAACTCTTCCGTCATACAGTTTTTCACTTCATGACACAGTCTTTTACTAACATTTTCTGCCCCTGGACTAGATTGCGATCTGGGTCTTTTACCTTTTTCAATGTTAGGGTGGTGTTCTGTAAGAATGTCCGCGTGGCTTCTATGGTATTCTTGGCTCACTTTAGGTGGGGTACGAGAAATTGAAGATTTAGGTATGAATATTGCGTCAAGATTTCTTTCATGCACTTTTACCATTTCGTTAGTACCACACCTTTTTGCACCAACTTTTATCTCTGTTGCTTTTTTATTGGAACATGTTCACTGTAAGGATTATTTTATTTATCTCCTCTTTTTGTAAGGTAAGTGTGCTAAGGGAGCTACTTCGGCCCGTCTTTTTCAGTTTTTCTTTTCTTTGCAATAGATTATTTACACTGGGAACTACAAAAAACGACCAAACAACGAGAGCGACTAAAAACACGTCTAACCGTAACGAGCAGCGAACGTATTTACAATGTATTAGATTTTGAAAAATAACCGAAATCCATAAAAATAGTAAGTTTTAGGAGTCACTTCAACTCATCATTTTCAGGTACTCCAGGCTACCAAATGTCAGGTCCATACACCCCTCAAACACCTGGTACAATGTACGATGCGACATACAGTCCTTATCAAGCTAGCAGTCCAGGATATCAAAGCGTGGCATCCACGCCTAGTCCTGCTGCAGGTTCGGGAACAGGAAGTTATGGACAGTCTCCAGCTGGTAAGCAAATTGTATGCTCTATCAAGAACATTTATATTAAATAGTCAGATAAGTGTTACACAAAACATTAGGAGGTCCTAGACAGACATCTGCATTGATTTGGGGATGACAAAAACCTGGCGGAACACAACACGGCGAGATCCAGGAATTTCACATTCTCATCTTAAACATCTCGTAGATTTTTACTGCTCAATTTCTAACATTTATTGCATTATAATTTTTGCTGTTTTACCATCTATGTTTTTATTATCATTCATACAATGTCTTTCCACGTTATGAACATTCAGTAAAGCGCACGTTAATGCTATTTTTAAAATAATTGTTACTAATATACTGTATCATGAAATAATGCAACTCAAAGCGCCATCTTTTACCAGAATCTGCTACTAGAAGAGTGCACAAAGTGCTGTCTTACATCGATAGACATCATATCCTGGATAAAGGATAGTTGCTTATCTTTCGTTTACTGTCCTACTTGAGACCAAGCCTAGACCATGCTGAGGAGTTGCCAAATAGCACAAAACCGCTGTCCATGGTTGGCCGTCTGTGGTCAGACGAATGAAAGCTGTATCACTATGCTAGATAATATTCTCAATGTTTGAAGGGTTCCTTATGTTTTAATCTCCAAGAACAACATTTTTTGCAACAACGTTTTTTATAAATTTATTGAGTGACGTGGGCTGGGTACCAGTAGGTCTGCAAAAAAAAACTACAAAACTATCGAATAAAAATTTTGTTGGTAAAAAGCTTAATTTGATAAAACAGTTTTTTGTCATCTTTAATTACCAGTCAAACTGCAAGAAATAAACTGTTGCATTTGAATGACCGTATTTTATTTTTTCATAGAGTTACGTCTGTTTTTTAATTTTGGCACTTAAAATGCCTGACAAACGCTGTCGCTTCCGTTGCTAGTAGTCGAAAGATTTATTTAGCATATATGGCTACATAAACAATTGGTAGTAATACATAACAATAATAAATTCAAACCATATGATGCATCGTCATATTTGCAATTCTAACGTACAGTTTCTTAGTTTTTATTTAATTTTGTTTAGGCTATTTTGTCGTTTTATGTTTGTTTGCTTGTTTAAGATTTATTTAGCAAGATTGCTACAATTATATTCTTTCTAAAAACTACAACAATTACAGAACATACAATTATTCAGAAAAATAAAATTTACATCTCTAAGAATTTTCACTGTCCATGTTCGTTTAATTCCCTCTTAAATATCGTTAAACTACAGACATCATTATTTAGTTTATTATTAAATTCAAGTAGTCCCTTCTGAAATATTGATTTGCAATTTTGTAAATGGAAGTATATATTTTCTCTTGTATAATACTTGTGGTAATGATTATTTAATTCAATGTGTAATGTTCTAAACGTTGTGGCAAAAGATGATTTTATATTTTCAATATGAAAATAAGAGCAAAAATGATACGAAATTTTTTATATTCAACCACTGCAATTCTTGTAACATAGATTTTATTTTGGTGTACTTATTTTTAGTCAAAATTATTGTCGAAGCTTCATTTTGTAGGACTTGTAACTTTCAGAATACAGCTTTATTGGCAGTGAACAAGATAGTTAAACAATATCGAAAATGTGGTAGAATAATTGTAGTGTAAACTATTTTTTTGATTTATTCATAATGATCCTCAAAGTTTAGTTTACTATCAATCCTTGATCAAAAAGTTCCCGGAATTTATTAAAAAAATAAACAATACAAGTTTAATGTCCAAAATCGATACTGTCCCCTTCAAAGTAGTCTCCATTGACTGTAATGCACTTATGCCAATGCTTGATCCAGTCCTCAAAACATTTTTTAAACTCGATGTTAGGTATCTCCCAAAACGTCACAGCTTGATTAGCGACAGGCAGTACGGTTTCCGGCACCAACGATCCACAGGGGACCTCCTAGCTTACGTCACGCAACTGTGGAGTAAACTCATCCAGTCTCATGGTGAGGCTCATGTCGTTGCTCTTGACATCACGAAAGCGTTCGATCAGCTGTGGCACGCTGCCCTCTTAAGCAAACTTCCATCCTACGGCCTCCCAGAAAAGCTTTGCAGATGGGTGGCTGACTTTATCTCTGGCCGCAAGATATCCGTCGTAATTGACGGATTCTCCTCTTCATCCCACAACATCAACGCGGGTGTTCCCCAGGGATCGGTCTTGGCTCCAACACTGTTTCTCTTACATATCAACGACCTCCTTTCCTGCACGATCAACCCAATCCACAGCTTCGCTGATGACAGCACTCTACATGCAGGAATTCAGAGTGACAAGCCGATCTCTGCCGCTGAGCTGGAAAAAAGAAGACTAGCGACGACTTCTTCTCTGACAAGAGACCTGGAGGCTATCACTGCTTGGGGACGCAACAATCTTGTACAGTTCAATGCTTCCAAAACACAGTACTGTACTTTGACGAACAAAAAGCGTCCTAGCGCTCATACAGTTTCGATGGACGGTCGAGTCCTACCAAAGAGCCATTCATTTCGGCTGGTCGGAGTCCAGATCACCGAGGACCTGATCTGGCACGAACACATCTCTTCAATAGCTGCAGCTGCTGGGAAAAAGCTAGGCTATTTGTTTAGGGCTAAGAAGTACTTTTCTCCGCATGACCTTCTCACTCTATACAAGGCCCAGATAAGGCCTAGCCTCGAGTATTGCTCACACATTTGGGGTGCTGCCGCCCCGACTACATTGTCCATGCTCGATGCTGTCCAGAGGAGGGCGGTCCGACTGATCGATGACTCTTCTCTAACAGACAGTCTCGGGACTCTTTCGCACCGGCGGGCCGTCGGCGATCTAGCTCTTTTCTATCGCTACACCAACGGGCTTTGCTCCTCAGAGCTCTCTTCCATGATGCCGCCGCGCGATGTGCCTGCCAGACAGACCCGCCTGACTTCGGCGTCCCATCCTAACCGTGTCAAACTTCGTACATCCAGAACTGGCCGATACGACCGCTCCTTTGTCCCGAGGGTGTCTAGATTGTGGAACAAACTACGGGAGGAAGCTTTTCCCAGTTCTACTAACCTTAGGCAGTTCAAAAATCGTATTAACAAAATTTCTTTGGGATCATCATAGCAGCCGCGGTGTTCCGGCATTTAGGCTTCCGCCTGCGCGGCTGTTTCGATATAAAAAAAAAAAATCTCTATTAGGGTCATCTTCGATTTTCCATTATCTCATCGCGGCTGCTGAAACGGGCTCCGTTCAGTGGCTTTATAATTCGATTGAGCAAGAAGAAGTCTCAGGGGGCCAAATCATGTGAATTGGATGGTTGTTGAATGGTATTCGTGTTGTTTTTGGACTAAAACTCACGGATAATTATGGCATTGTGCGATGGTGCATTATTGTGGTGCAAGATCCACGAGTTGTTTTCCCACAGATCCTTGCGTTATGGACGGATTGCTCCACGCAAATGTCTCAAAACACCCAAATAGTACTTTCCGTTGACAGTCTGACCTTTTGGCAAGAAAACCGTGAGCATCACCTTCTTTTTCGACTGGAATTACCTTCTTTTTCGACTGGAAACGACGCGGCATCTTTGGTCTCGGCTCATTCGGCGCGCGCCGTTCACTCGCCTGATGTCTTGACTGCGTGTCATACTCATAAACCCACGTCTCATCTCCAATAATGATGCACTTGATAAATGTTGGGTCAGAATCAGTCATGGAAATAAGATCTTTGGCGATATCAACACGGTACTTTTTTTTTGCAAGAAATTCAAGTCTTTTGGCATCAACTTGGCTGCAACACGACGGAGACCCAAATTGTTGACCAAACTGCTTTGAACGGACCCATAAGCAATGTTCAAGTTCTGTGCCATCTCCCTAATAGTTAATTTGCGGTTGCTGGCCAACATTTTCTTCACTTTGTCAACGTTTTCTTCAGTTTTCGATGCCGATGGCCTGCCGCTGAGCTCATCATCGGAGAAGGTCTCACGACCTTCTGTGAACCGTTTGTACCTCTCGAAAATGGCTGTTTTCTTCTAAGCATATTGTTGCCGGAGCATTTTCCTAACATTTTCAAGGTTTGGGTACCGTTGCCATTGTTTTTAACACAAAATTTAATGCAAACTCGTCAGAATTCAGCATCTTTAAAGCAGTGTCTATAATATCTAAATATCTGAATTATACAATAATCTAAAATATCACAAATGTCATTATTGTATAAAATAATAATAATAATCTTTATTTGTTCTGTAGATCATTTGTCATGACATAGAATACGTCAAGGTACTCTATCTTGAAACTAAGACAAGCAATACAAAAATAGATAAATAAAAACAAAAGTCACAAAAACAATGAACAAAAATACAAGTACATATTAAAATAAATCGGCCAAGTTGAAATATATAAATAAAATAGAAGAACCAGAAATAATAAGCTACAGTAAAAAATGTATATGGTACTAATACAAAGCTCACATCTGATATATACTAAGTGACATATAAATCCGAACGCTCAGTTTAAATGGTTTTATTTTAATAAAATTTTGTATAAGTACTTAATGAAGCATAATAAGTAAATGATAAAAATTTCAAAATGATTGCACTGCTTTAAAGCCCTTTAATCTTTAATAATGTGTGGATGCACCCTGATGTGCTATGCATTCTCCAACGCGCCTAGGCATGCTTCTGATCAGGTGGTCAATGTCCTCCTATGGTATCTCATTCCAGGCAACCACCAACTCCTCTCGAAGTGCTTCTAGAGTCTGAGGAGGACGTTGCAAATTGAGCAATCTCCTACCCATCATATCCCACACGTGCTCAATTGGGGATAAGTCGGGAGATCTTGGTGGCCATGGTAACAATGTGACATCATTATGTTGGAAGAAGTCTATTGTGACTCTTGCAACATGTGGTCGGGCATTATCTTGTTGGAAAGTTGGATCTGCCAGGGTGTCAAGATAGGGTAAATGACCAAACCATAACTCCAACAGTATGATGAACATGTCTTTCAACAAAATACTGTGGATTCCTCGTTTCACCACGTCGCCTTCTAACCCTGGCACGACCATCGTGCATGCCTAAACAAAATCGAGACTCGTCACTAAAGACAATAGTGTTCCATTCCTGATCCCAGAGTGACCGTTGTCTGCACCACTCAAGGCGATTACGTCGGTGTTCTCGAGTTAAAGGGAGGACCCAGTGTGGCCGGTATGAAAACAAGCCAAAACTTCTCATTCGTCGGTAAGCACTTCGTATGCCAATAGGTCTTCCGTGTTCTGCAAACCATTCATTTGCAATGGACCTGGTAGTGGAGAAACGGTCCCTTAAGGCCAATAATCTTAGGCGGCGATCTTCACGGTCTGTTCTTCTACGGCGGCGTCCAGTGCCCCTTGCTCTTTGCGTACGGCCTTCTCGAAGCCATGCCTGACAACACCTAACCACAGTGTCTACACTTCTTTGCACTCTAACTGCAATTGCCCGAAAAGAAAGTCCAGCTTCCCGAAGTCCCACTATACGGCATCTATCAAACTCACTAAGTTGACGAAATCGTACAGGTCTCCGTACTCTAGGCATCGTAACCGATCGTAAAGGATGTCAAGAACCAAAATCCGCCAACGTTGATTCTTTACTGCGGCTGAAATATTCATTTTTAGAGCGTTAGTGAATTAAAAAAAAGCAGTATAAAAACCGGAATGTCCAAGTGATAAGGCTGAAACATTTTTCACTTGTTATTTACAGTAAGATAAATACATTCACCAACTTTTATTAAAATAAAACCATTTAAACTGGGTGTTCGGATTTATATGTCACTTAGTATAGTTAGGCATCTTGATCTAAGAAATATTCGTCCAAAGAATAGTACGCTCTGTGTCTTAATAGAGCTTTGAGTTTACGTCTGAATAATGGCATTGGCAAGGTTTTAAAGGTGTTTGGCGATTTATTGAACAGCCTAATACTCATTTGATTTGGGCTGGCCTCTGTTCTTGGCAGCCGGTGAGCAGGAATCTGCAGGACAAGCGAATTCCTAGTCGAGTACTTATTATGATCATTCAATTTTGGAAACTCAGCTAGGTTAGATTTCACATTTGTCAACAGCTCAAAGATATATATTGATGGTAAAGTTAATATTCCCAGCCGCTTGAAAGAATCTCTGCAGCTGGTCCTTCTGCTCAGACCTAACAGTGAACGCACGACTCTTTTTTGCATAGTGAATACTCGAATTGCTTCTGCGGAACCACCCCAGGCTATGAGAACGTATGAAATTGTGGAGTGGATATATGTAAAATAGTAGGTCAATAGCAAAGATCTATCGACCACAAAGCGTAGCTGACTGGTGCAGTACAGGAATGGGGCGATCTTTTTGCATGTATAATCAGTGTGAGCATTCCACTTTAGGGAACTGTTTATATGGATACCCAAAAATTTGATAAAGCCAACCTGCTGAATGGAACCATTGTAATAGTCGTGGACTCAGTCTACTTTGCTTTTTTGACTTTCAATTAAGTTGTTTTGTAGAATTTTGAATACATATTCTTTAAATCCATAGTGATGCAATTTTGTGAGTTATAATGTCTGAATTTGATTTGTTGAAATCCATTAGGCCTTGTTTCCTATTTCGTACATAATAATCCGTTGGATTACATCTACAACTTGCATATGTCTTTTTAACCGTAGCGTTCCTTTTATTTTCAGGTAGTGGATCAGGAAATCCTTACAGCACGCCCAGTTCGAGCTACAGTCCAAACATGCCGTACAACCCTCAGACTCCAGGCGCTGGCTTGGACGTGTTGCCTATGACAGATTGGCACACGGTTGACATTGAGGTTAGGATCCGTGACAGCCACGACGACGCGGGATTGGTGGGGCAGACTGGAGTCATCAGGAGCATCTCGGGTGCTATGTGTACCGTATTTTTGCCAGCTGAGGATCGGGTGGTCAACATTATGTCGGATCATTTGGACCCGGTGCGGCCTCAGAGAGGAGACCAGTTCAAGGTAATTTTTTCTAACCCTGCCTGTCAGAAATCGAGATCTTGGCCCGGTTTTAACTGTAACTTGGACGTTAGCTATCAGTTGTCCGTAAATCCGTTTTTCAAGTTCTGGTTAACTAACCCGGAATTGTTGACGCGGCAATACTGCTTCTGGGTCTGAAATATCGTGTTCTGTACATTTTGCAATGCTCGATGTTTGTGTCTCGTGGCATCCGTGACAAACTCATGTCATTTTCAAGCTAAAAAGGTGACGTATTGCGGTTTAACTACAACTCACTAGTAATCCCATAAATGGTGCTCTGGTTAAAGTTAACTAACGTGTTAGGTCAAAATTGACATTGCAACACACGTTTTGAGGATTAACTTCCGGTTAGCAATAAAATTACACTTAGTCTGCAATTGAGAAGCTGGACCTCAGTATCGAAAGATGTTATTTACAATTTTTATAGTTATTGTTATTACCGTTAGATTTGGTGTTTGTAGTTTTTTTTTCTTACTGTGTCAAGAAACTATCTCAATTTTATTTTCTGAATCGATGATTAGGGTTGAGATACAATTTTTTGCTACCAAAGGTGTTGGCAGTGAAGGCACGTTGATGGTATTCACGGGTGAAGGCAACTAGAGGTTTCTAGTAAAACCATTTGAAAAATACACGTCGGAATAAAATAAAATACATTTTATATGTGACAAGGTTTGACACTGATTTAGACTACTGAACATTTTTCAGGCCCTGGCCCCGAACAGAAAACTGATGCTTCTTTCTTTCGACTGCCTTCTTTAGGTTGTCTATTTCTAAATAAGTTTTGACTGCGAATTTCCATGTTTCCAAATGTTCTCGACCGCACAACTTTTCTATCCGAGAAATCGAAGCTATTCAGTGATGAAAAACGTGAGAAGATCCTCCTAGCAAAAACGTATTTCACTGGTCCTAAATCCAACTTGTCGAAAAAGAACTGGACCCATAACCTGTTGTCAGGGAAGGAAAACATTTCATTTCATATATGACAAGGTTTGACACTGACTAAACACAGGGTAAAGTCCAACGTTTGAAATTAACTTTCAACAAAAGGAAATGGAGTATGGCGAATCTAATGGTAATGATTTCACAAAAATTCTAGTTAATGACTTTTGACACTAAGGCCCGTATCGTCAGTCGTCCCTACAATTGTAGGGCGCCTTTATGACCTCCTTGATTGTCATAGTTTTCTAATTCTCCGTGTCAGCGCTCTATTTTGAGGTTATGTCACAAACATCTATTTGCATCAAATTGTGCTTGCTTTTGAGTTGTATCATGTTTTATCAGCCAGAAATTTCCTACAATTTAAAAAGAAAACATATCTTCACAATAGGAGAGCGCTGACGCTGACACGGGACAAGTGTAATCTAGAAATTTTTGAAGGACAGAAAGGAGTATGACAATCAAGGCCATAAACGCGCCCTACAATTGTAGGGACCACTGACGATACGGGCCTTAGGCTTCGAAATTTGGAATGCCTTCATAATCTACACGTAAAGTGAATACAGTTTTGGTCCTAATGCATATTCATTCCTCGAGACCTCCTCATTACCTTGACACTTGGGTGAGACTGAAGAGAAGTGGGCAAAGGAGTTTGTCATGGGCGCTCATTAGGGAGGGCATACAGTATCCGTTTTTTGACAAGGAGTGACGTGTGTTGTTTCATTTCTACATCCCTACATAGAAATTATTTTATATCTGTTTCAAAGTGGTTGGCTGGGCCTATCAGTATAACATGTCGCTTCTTAATTCTGCTATATGAGCGCCGATGAACAAGCCTTGATGGTGTGCCGACTGTGCATTGCAACAAGAAGCCATTAGATCAAACAGTGCAGTCTTCTTTTAAAAGAAATGGTTTTGACAATGTCACAATGAGGCAACAAGTGAAGGCATGACTATGTATATCCCACACCAAGATCATTTCAAAGTAAAATCGAAACTTTGGGAAAGGACATACATTGTGAAAATTCACAATTTTCTGTTCTATTGCAGGTCATTATTGGTGAAGAACGAGAACAAACAGGTGAGCTTCTTTCAATCGACTTGCATGAAGGCGTGGTGAAGATCAAAGACGACATTACAATGTTGCCATTGCAGAATTTGTGTAAAATGAGGAAAAGAGACTAGACTCTAATTACTACTTGAAGCTTAAACAGTTTAGCATGTGCTTTATGTAGAATATTATGTTGTAAAGTACCTATGCGTATCACAGTGAAATAAACACATAATACATTAAAAATGCTTTTATTTTATTCCTAATATTCACTTATCCCTTCTTGATCCATTGTTATTTTTTCATTTCACTGAACAGAATTTTTAACCACTTTGCTGTGAACTTTGTATATATGAACTACCACTAGTATCTCCTAGTACTGACTATAGAAAAAAGTATACTTGAGAGATAAAATGAAAAACGCATCAAATTTCTATATTTTATTGAACATGAAAAAATTTAAACAACATGGTAGTTTTAAGATACATAATTACGTAGGTATTTTAACCATGGAAGACATATTGGCAGGAATATTCATAAGTACCTTCAATGCAAAATATTTTTTCTTATTTATACTGATGTGGGGTGCATGTCTTTTACTAATACTTTCAGTCATGTTACGAGCTATTCCACACTATCATTATCTCTTGGGCTTATGTTCATATGGAATATACAAAAAGTAATTCTTCCTAGGCTGCTAAATCTAACAGAATCACCAATCCCTTTGTAGACGAACGTGAATTCTTTTATGGAATGATTATATGTACTTGTTCACGTTAATTTTAAAAATACTGGTATGCCTAAATCCCCACACCGTCAACAATATAATTTCTGTTTTTCACAAATTTATTTCTCATTTTCATATTAATTTTGATTTTCAAGTGGCATCACCTGCACATCTAAATCCTAGATTGCTTGCGGAACTATCTTTCGTATTTGAGGACCTAGCGGCGCATCTATATCTCCAGCAATAAGATTCGTGACAAAGGAATGATCCACCCTTTTTCACTTTGGAATTCTAAAAAAAATATTTCGTTGAAAAATACCTTTATAAAAAAACTGAGCTACTACTGTAACCCTTAAATATAGAAAAATAATCTCAAATATTTACTACTTACAGGGTCCTTTTGCCAGCTATCTTGTGTCCATTCCCAGACATTTCCAGCCATGTTAAAAAGACCAAACTTGTTTGGCGGAAATTCGTCTACTGGACAAGTAAATAGAAAGCCATCTTCTAATGTATTCAACTTGGGAAACTGACCTTGCCATATATTTGCCCTAAGAAAAGAGATTTCTGAATATTTGTTTCTAATCCCCTCTACCTTGGAGTATAGGGGGGTTAGAAACTTACTCAAAAGTTTTAGAGAACAATCTAATGTCGACTATGACCTCGACAATCACCGTCTAGGTCATTTAGAGGTGAACATGAAAATTTTAAATACAATCGTATCTTTTTGACCTCGTCTAAGGGGAATAGTAGAAAACTTTACATTCTCTAAACATTGATCATGGACTCAAAGTCAACGTGCTCCATCCATACCACATACAGCGTGTTCAACCTCTCCTGCCCCGGGATTATGAGCCCCGAGTTGCTTTTTGTCGCACAATGTTAGAAAGACACAGGAAAGATCCACAGTTCTTTGAAAAAATTTTATGGTCGGATGAGACCACATTTAAGAAAGATGGGTACATGAACCTGCATAACTTACACGAGTGGCACGTAGCAAACCCACATTTGATGAGAGAAGATAAATCTCAATATCGCTTCAAGATAAACCATTGGACAGGAATTTTAAATGGTAAAATAATCGGTCCGTTTGAGTTCCCAGAGACTTTGACTGCTGCAGTTTATTTGGATTTTTTGAAAAATCATGTACAAAATTTATTGGTGGACGTGCCACTGAGTATTTACAGGGACATGTGGTTTCAGCATGATGGCTGCCCAGCGCACTATGCACTCTCAGTGAGAGAGTATCTCGATCAAAACTTTCCAGGCAGATGGATAAGGCGGTCTGGTACAATACCGTGGCCAGCCCGGTCACCTGATTTGAATCCTTTAGATTTTTTTACTGGGGAACTGTAAAAGAAAAAGTGTATTTCAAGCCGATTCAAAATGTAGCTGAGCTACGGCAAAGACTATTGGAAGCAGCTGAGTTTGTTAATAACCGTGGATTCGCTCGTTTAATAACCCGATCTTTTTTAAGAAGATGTCGAGCGTGTATTGTGGCTGAAGGAAAACAGTTTGAGCATTTGCTGTAAAGGTAAATCATCATCAGCAGCATTTTGACGCCCACTGTTGGGCAAACAGTTATCCTTAAGGGTCCTTGTGCGTTTTCATAATCGCTGTTTAATTAGGAAATTTTGAAAAATTTTCATCAGTTTTTTTTTCAAATAAAAATTGTGCATAAGTTAACGAGTAATCTTCTAAGTGTTATACCATTTTGGAATCGTTATTGAATGCGCCAACTTTTAAGGTTACTTGCCAAACTCTCGTAGTACATTTTTTCCAGTACAGCCTGTTAAAGTTGAGCAAAGTTTTACTTTGGAATACTTGGTTGGGAAATAAGTGGCAATTTTTCCTGAACGAGAAAAGTAGGCAGTAAGGTTGAGACACCAGTTTGAAGATGCATTATTCATCATTACATTGTAAAAATAAAATCCAAAAAAAGTTAATATTTGTAGTAACAGGAGTTGACAGACTGCCGTAGGGTGTGAAATTTCTATATCTTTTTCAAAGACCTGTAATTTTCAAAATACATACATAAAATTTTTTTAAATATTTTTCTGATATGACTTTGCCTATCACCTGGTTTCGGCTTGACGTCAACTTCTGGGACACCCTGTATGTTGCTTTTGTAAATATTTGCCATGAAATTGAATTGGATTCAAAATTTTTGATAAGGCAAACATACTCTTATGACAGCATAATGTTGGATATAACAGAATATATATATGTACCAAGCAAGAATGACCATCACTGGATTGACTGAAGTCTTACCAGTGTTTCCCTTTGGGGTTCAACTTATTGCCCCAGGGATACAATTTCTGCCTGAGTCCACCTCTGCAAGCCATCTCCCATTCGGCTTCAGTAGGCAGCCTTTTCCCCACATGCTCACAGTATTTTACTGCATCATTCCAAGACACATGTATCACTGGATGATCCATAAGGTCTTCTATAGTAGATTCTGGTCCTGTGGGATGTTTCCAAGAGACACCATTTAATTTCACCCACCAAGGAGCTTGCACAGCTCTGACGTCCTCGTATTTATCTCTAAGATTCTCGGGAAGAGCCATTTCGAATACAAAGCTGTCTCCAAATACTTCTGCCTCAGTTTTGAACCCAGTTTCTTTCACAAAATCGTAAAATTTTTGATTTGATACTTCATATTTGTCCAAGTAAAATGATTGAACTGATACGTTTCGGACGGGCGACTCAAAATCGTCTACGAAAACGGGTTTGTTAGTTCCCATTTCAAAGGTAGTACCCTGTATTAGCACCATGTTGGTAGTATCAAAAGCAGAATTATTGTCATCAGATATTTGGTTGGATTCCTTGGTGTATGTTTTGCCTGGATTTACATCGTTACTGCACTGTCCGTTTCTGTTGATGCTGCATCCGCAGCTTGCTTGTGAAGGAGGCAAAATAGTAAGTATGAAAGCTAGAAGCAGTTGTAAGTACATAGCGTGTGCACGTTTCGGTAGATTGTACGCAAATGATTACATTTATGATGTTGAAAGTGAAAAAGCCGGCAAGAGGAGGCGATATAAGTACGCTAAAGTGGAAAATATAACTTTATAAAACACATCATTTTTTAGAAACGTTGAAATGAGGTTATGTATGCAAGCTATCAAAATCAAGCAAGTGTCAAAAACATATGGGAAATATGACTGTTCCATTACTCATTTCGTGCAAAAATTCTGCCACATCACTTCTTAGATAGTGATGGGCGGTGTTATGTTATGTACTAGGAGACTAGGGGCTACTAGTTAATACAGCTGTCATTTGTGGGATGAGTAAGTTAAATATTTCAAAAGCAAACATATTTGCCGGTTTTTTGTTTCATTAGCCTATCTAAATGGATGATCCAGAGGATGCTCAATTGCTGCAAAAAAAGTTGTACTTTCTATTGGAACAGTTGCAAAATATGGCTAGAGATTTACCACCGTAAGTTCCCAGCTGCAAGACTAATCAAACGTATCTTCTTTCTCTGTATTGCAGGAAATATCAGATGAGGCTCCCGTACGAATTATTGTCTAGCCTAGCGAATTGTTTACTGAACGATACCGTCTTCGAAATCGTGAAAGGACTGTTGGAGATACAGCATGTAACTGAACAACACCTTTATCACCAGAGGTTGCAGTTTATCCACAAAAAGAAAAGTAAGTTGATTGGTAGCAAGTGTCACTCAAAACAGGAAAATTACTGTCTTCATCATTCATTAGACTCGACCCGCGGCGGGGGCGAGCCGCACAGGGTGTCTCCTGTTTTGGGGTGACACTCACCTGCTGACCCAACATTTTCAGAGTTAAACTCCAAGACCTAGCTTCATTGTTTAAGATCGTACAAACAAATACTTTGGTTTTGGTGAAGACTGAAATTAGTTACATCCAAATTTACTGATATTCACAATGAGGTCTTAGAAATGGACAGAATTACTTTTGGAGGTACCAAGACTGTGAGGATACTTAAAAGCACTAATGTTACTGTTTCTGATTGGGTAGCTCTACATTTTTTAAGGTTTATTATAGAATGGGATTTTACATCTTCTGAATCTTATGATGGCACTCAAAATTGTTCAAAACGGTTTGCATGTCTGATCCTTCACGTGAAAGGAGTTTCAGTGAACTAAAATTAATAAAAAACTATTTGCTGGCAACAATGAGCCAATCACGGCTTAGCAATCTTGGTATATTAGCCATCGAACACAATGCAATACAAAATATAATAAATTTTGATGAAGTTATTTTTGAGTTTGCAGCTGTCAAAGCTAGAAGGAAGGAATTTTAATTGATTTTTTCTGACTTTTTGTTCGATATTTTGAATATAAATATTAAATGATCCATGATATTTATGTATGATATAAAATTTATTGCCTTTGACTTTCTATGGGGTGACACCACCAACTTCCGCACTGGGTGCTACCCACAGTGACTATGCCACTGTGTGAAAGTGATGTTTCCATTTCAAATCTTACAACTTTGTTATATTTTTTCTAGATATTTATGGTTATAATCTTGCTAGGTTTCATTTAGTAGTATGTCTCTTTGTGTTATGCTTCAGATGAGTAGCAGACATATTGATTATACATTCACATTTATATATAATAGTCTAATCATGTTAGCGAATTACCCCGAAATAATTGTAAAGTCTGCTTTTATTGGTGCGAGTTGTTCAAGGGGGTATTAAAAAGATGGACGCATAAAATGGGTACACCAATTTTTGTGGGAAAACTTTTTATTGGATGATGGAAGAATGAGAAAACATGTTTTTTGGGATTCAATCGGAACTTTTCTTATAAGATTTTAAGTTATTTATGAGACCTACAAAATGTGACCACACTTGCTGGTAATGGGACGATGGTTTCTCGCAGATATTTGAAATTCGTAGGATTCGTAATTCTTAATTACCACCACAAAATTGGAGTAGATTGGTCAAGAGGTTTTTGAGACTTTCTAATTGTTTATCCCAAAACACCTGTTTTCCGGCCATCACTACTAGTTTATTTAGCATTATACAGGGTTAGTTCAAAGGGCATTTTATAGCAAAATACACTAGATTACCTTGCCGATATGAATCACAAACCATCTCGAAACATAAATGTTATCTTTATGCGAAAAACAAAGGTTACGTTTTTTCTTCTAGACAAATTCAAACATTTCGTATTTGTGAGTAATTGAACAAATGCGCTACGGAATTCGGAAAACATACGTTACTATTACATTTTAAAACAAAGCGAGATCCGCTAGACATATCGTATATCAGGGTGACTTTGAAGTTGAGTCATTAATTTTCAGATAATGATTGTAGAAGGAAGATAAACCAAAATATGTGTGTAAAAATAAAAAATTTTACCTTGTTTTATAAAGTATCCTCCCGACAAGTATTTCAGTGCGGACCTGTATTTGATCGTGAGGTCTTGGAGCACCGGCATGCCGTCCATATGTGAGGTCTTAAGTCAAATGATTCACGAACCCGTTGAACTACATTAACAAAGGCACGAGGGGTTGAAATACTTATAAAAACGTCGTTCCAAATTCTTTCGCTTTTTTGTTTCCGATGCGATGAACCGATACGGCGGATTATATCCGTTGTCGCCAAACGCGACCACATAATATTATTGAGACAGGGCGGTACTCAAACTTCCAAAGGGCTATAACTTTGTTACTTTAATTTTACCAGGAAAATGGTAAAGGAAAAAAACATTTCTTTTGATCAGATCTACTCACTGTTAAAATAAATGACTCAACTTCGAAGTCACCCTGTATATATATATATATATATATATATATATTCTTGTTGCGAATTACTCACAAATATGAAATGTTTGAATTTGTTTAGAACAAAAAACCTTTTGGATAAAAATAACATTTACCTTCCGGAATGGTTTGCGATTCGTATAGGCAAGGTAAACTAGTGTATTTTGCTATAAAATGTCCGTTGAACTAAACCTGTATATTGCTCAAGAAACTAGTGGTGATGGCCGGAAAACAGGTGTTTTGGGATAAACAATTAGAAATTCTCAAAAAATTCTTGACCAATCTACTCCAATTTTGTGGTGGTAATTAAGAATTACGAATCCTACGAATTTCAAATATCTGCGAGAAACCATCATCCCATTACCAGCAAATGTAGTCTCATTTTGTAGGTCTCATAAATACCTAAAAATCTTAAATGAAAAGTTTTTTCATTTCTGCCAACACTTTCGATTGAATCCCAAAAAACACGTTTTCTCAGTGTTTGCGGTTGAATAAAAAGTTTTCCCACAAAAATTGGTGTACCCATTTTATGCGTCCAGGTTTTGAATAACCCCTTGAACAAATTGCAGCGATAAAACCAGACTTTACAATTTTTTCGCAAACCGGGGGTATTTATAATATATTATAGAATATGGAGAGACTGAAATGTTAGGAAACATTTTCTGTGTGTATAGTTAGCCGGCCACCGGCAGTCACGTTGACCGCCGCGACCAGTATAGTATAGCCCGAGAGTGAACTGTCTTTATCAACGTCATTTCGATATTGCTTAGAAAGTAATAGTTTTTTGGTTCAAGACATAATATTTGGAAGAGATTGTGGAGTAAATGATTTGAATAGGACTCGGGGTAGGGATGGAGAATTCCACAAGGAGTACGAGAAATACAGAGTGTATCCAGAATTCTTTTTCGAGTATACCATAATGAGTATCGAAACCTTCGATTGTGATCTAATTAATATTCAACCAGAATTGGAAAAAAGTAAATGCAGATAGAATTTTAAGTGTCGCTGAAAAACTTTTTTTGACATTACGGTATGTACCTATCTATAAAAAATATAAAGAATAACATTTAATTAGCTGAGCATATTCTGGGGAATCGTAATTCTCTAGCTTAGCTACATTAGCCGTTTTTGATGATAACATGATTTCAGACCCTAGTTTTTGGATGTAGATGAAAGAAATGGGACTGAAAATAAGCGCAAACATGAAAGTTCTGAAATATTTTACTAGTAGTAGTAGTAGAAAGATTTATTTAGCACATTTGGCTACATAAACAGAACAATTGTAAACAACTTAGAACTAGTAAATTCAAGCCATATGGTGTATGATGTAAATGCTGGGAAACCTATAATTGTAGATTTAACAAGTGATTTCTCAATTTTACTTTAAATTTTGTTTTAAGTTTTCTGGTCTTTTATCTCCGAGTATAATTTATTATATTCAATCAACCCTTGATGAAATACAGATTTGTAGCATATGTTATACTTTTTGGTCATTAAATGGAAGTCATCTTTATTTCTGGTATTATGTAAATGATGGTCGACATTTGATGATGTTAAATTAGTTAGACTTGATGGAAATATATTATTTTTTACTTTATAAATGAATATCATTACAAGATATTTGATAAAATTTTTTACATTGAGCCATTTTAATTTGCTAAGCATTTGCCTAATTGGAGTATATTTATCTTTATTTAGTATTATTCTCATGCACTAATTTTGTAAAATTTGCAGTCTTTCAAAAATGGAATTATTTGCTAAATATAGAATAGTCGAACAGTACAAGAAATTTGGAAGAATGATGGTATTATAGATAATTTTTCTGCTATATGAACTCAGACATCCAGAAACTCTCGATAAATATCCCACTTTACTGCTAATCTTATTTATAACTTTTTCATAATGAATATCAAAAATTAATCGAGAGTCAACAAAAACTCCCAGGTATTTAAAATTTTCTACGAATTCAATATCTTCACCATCAATATTCAGTTGAACATTTGTACATTGTTTTTTTTCCGATTAACAAGGTTTTCGTTTTACTTGCATTTAATTTTAGTCTGTTAGATGCTAACCATTTTAAGACAAGCTCCAAGTCTTCATTTATATAAGAGATACCAGACTGAATATATTTAGTACTTATATAAATCATAGTGTCATCGGCGAAAATTTGAATTTTGCATTTTTTGACTATGGCAGGTACATCATTTATGTATAAAATAAAAAGAAGTGGTCCCAGGATACTGCTCTGTGGAACACCCAACGTATTTTCAATTTTTGATGAAACAGTATCATTAACTTTTGTAACTTGCATCCTTTTAGATAAATAATTTCTAAACCAATCTAAAACACTTCCTGCTATACCATATGCCTTCAATTTACCTAACAAAATATCTCTATCAATCGTTTCAAATGCCCTCTTCAAATCCAAAAATACTGCTATGACAACTTCTTCTGAGTCTATGGCTCTTCTCCAATTCTCAGTTACCAACTGGAAAGCTGTTTCTGTGGAATATTTTTTTCGAAAGCCTGCTTGCGCCTCCACTAAAATTTTGTTTTCTTCTATAAACTGCATTAATTGGTCATGCACTATGGACTCTAATAATTTTTCAATGTCTGGTAACACATTTACTGGTCTCATATTGCTGCATCTTTTAGAATTTTTTATTTTGGGAACTGGTGTTATTGTAGAGCATTTCAAATTTTCAGGGAAAGAACTGCTTCTCAGTGAACAATTTATCAAATTTAATACAGGATATCCCAAAATTTCGAAACAGTTTTTCAGCTCGTTTTTAGTAGTCATTTCGGCACAGTTGTTATTTGATTTTAAACTGTTTACTTTTTTTCTTAGATAATTCAATGATACGCTGTGAAATTTTGAAAGTGTATGCAACATTTCCCCTGGAAATATAATATAATAGTTTTTATTGAATGTTTGTTTTCAAAGACTATGCGATGTTGCCAGATTTCAATACTTCATAGGTTTCCGTGTTGATGGATATTCTTATTAATTAAATTTGTATGTATGACTTCAAGCTCCACATAACCCTATATAACGTCTAATGCGCCGTAACTCAAAGGGGGACAAATTCTAGACTAAAAGGAGAGCCGCTACGCGTGAAAATGCGTATTTTCGTTAATTTTCTTGTATAGTATTTCTTAAATATGGCAACGTCGCGGTATGTATAGGATCCGTTCCATTCTACAAATGTCGTGAGTGAAAAGGTGTTTATACCTTTAAAAACCCAGATAATATCAACAATATTCTGCAACTAACACATTTGCGGGCATTTGAAATCTCATTTCCATCATTTACAACCCAAACCTAGTGCCTGTTCGGACGGAGAAACAAAAAAGGGTGCTGTAGCTAGGCTAGAGAATCACCTGGGGAATGATAATGATAGTACCCATCAACAACAACTTCCCCCAAAAAACATGGTCGCTAGCATATTTTTTTCGGAACTATTATTGCCCAAAATATGGTTAGCTAATTAAATGTCATCCTGTATATTAATATTTCATGAAATTGCAATACTTTACAATAATTATGTTATTCATTTGTGTGCTGTGGGTGGCCAAACTTCCAAATGGCTGACCTAGCAAGTATTTCAGTAATGAAAGTCTCGGTGTTTATTTTTCGTGGCCCAAAATATGGTTAGCTAATTAAATGTCATCCTGTATATTAATATTTCATGAAATTGTAATACTTTACAATAATTATGTTATTCATTTGTGTGCTGTGGGTGGCCAAACTTCCAAATGGCTGACCTAGCAAGTATTTCAGTGATGAAAGTCTCGGTGTTTATTTTTCGTGGCGAAAAAACTAAACTCGTTTGATCACTGCACTATTCGCGGCGACTACCGCCCGACTCTGTGGCCGCCAGTCGCCCGCGCGGTTCACTTGGTACGTTTTGCCGCTGCGCGTGTGGCTTCAGTACATTTCTATGCGTTTATTTCAGTTGCTGGACGCTTCGCCGTTCGCACCGCGCGAATATTCGCTGTGGCGAATGTCCCGTGGCCAGGCCGTAACTGGTTACATGCATTCAGATTTGAGGTCTGTGGTTGAAGTATCTTGGAATTATAGGCGTTTTTTTAATTTCCAGTGGAAGAGCAAGACATTTTGAAGAAGTATGAACATGATACAGAAAGGAAGATTGAGGAGCTACAAAAATTTATGATTAAACAAAAAGAAGAGCTCAAGGTATTTGATATGAATTTAGTGTTGCAACTGGACCAAAAAGTAACAGATCAACAGCAAATCTTAGAACAGGCTGGTGTACCAGGATTCTACGTCACACAAAATACACTAGAAATTAAAGTGCAAATGCATTTGTTGGACTTTTTGTTGAGGTTAAGCAGAATGCAAATGACTTTTTGAAAAAAAACTAGATGATCCATTTGCTTTTCGGCTGTTTCTGGGTTGCATGAGGATGCTGCACTTGACAATAGTGTATTGGTCATTTTTATGTGATGATGTCATAGGCTCAAAACAAGATGTCATTCCTGACAATTTCTCCATACCAATGTTCTGTGAGGCTTTGGGCCCAGACATTAATCCTATTAGTCGGACTGACCAATCAACAAAGGTGAGACTAGTCATTGGAAGCCTCGTGATTTTTAATACTTATGGTGAACAATAAGTTTACTTTTTTGTTAACCACATTGTTTTACATTACATTTTGTAATCAAAAGAGGAATGTATGGGTTTTATTAAAACAATATTTTTAGATCCTATTTGTTTATTTACATCAACAATATGCACATAACAACAAAAAAAGAAAAATATTTATAGCTAACTGTAAACAGAGCATTGTGCTATAAAATATGTCACGTTTAATAGAAGTCCATCTTCATCCCATGATGTAAAAATCATTAAAAAAATAAAGGAATATTAGAACAAGACTGTCATGGACTTTTGGAACTTGCTAGGTAATTTCTAGTTTCTCGTCACGTAAATTTTTAATTCATAGATCTTATAATACTGTTTTAGATATAGTAGGATTATAGTGCCTCATTTTAGAAACACTGCTATGTGATTGAAATTTTCAAACCTTGAGTTCAGCTACCTTTTGACTATCACATGAAGTCGACAATTGTGCGCCGCTAGAACAGCAAAATTATATAAACAAAAGTTTGTTTCCAACTAGAGCAGTACTTATCTAAAGGAAATTTATAATGATCATTATGGAAGCGCTTTTCTATTTAACAATAGAACTAATACCTAACAAAAAGAGTCAGACACCCTACAATAATTAATTAAAAAAACTAAACATTCACAGATAAGAGATTGCGCCAGTAAGTGATGTGGAACAATCTGCATTTGTTCTAAAGGCTCAAACAAAATTTGTTCAAGTTTTGTGAGTGGTGATGAATATGACTGCATACCAAGTCCTAATGTTTGTTGCAAGTTAAAATAATACCTGAATCGCGGTGAATTCTATGTATGTATTTCAGATGGTCACTGATCTAAAGGTTCACATCAGGTCTACAAAAATTCTTACATATTAAGTTGGGCGATGCTTGAAAGTTGGCACAGACAATTGTATCTGATTGATGTTTAGCTGGAAAACACTTGTGGCCATTGGACACCATGTTTAAGAAGTTTTCTTTGGCGTAGTTGTACCATATGAGGAACCCTTTTTAATCTCTGACATGCCTACCGTCTTGTTTAGCAGAAGGAAAACTGGAAATAAATATACAAAATCAGGTGCAACTCAAATTACAAAATTTAAATTGTAACTCTAAGAGCAGCTTCTTTAGGTTGACGTATTGCTTGCTAAAATGATGACATAAAAGGACGGATAAGTTAGATCATTCACTAACGTATTCTCCAAGAGGATGCCTTTGTCCTACTTCATAATTAATATTAGGTATTCGTATCTTCAGAATTTCGCAACGATAGAAAAAACCCCGTAACCTGCGACAATAGCCCGAAAGATGGCAACGCTGGCGTCTAATGACAGTGATCGACTCGCATATAAATAGTTGTAAGCGTAAGTAGTTGGTGGAGACTTAACCACTTCCCGCGGCGGTGGCGGGAAGCCCAGGTTATAATGCTCACCAAGCCAGGCAAGGACCGGAAGTTGCCCCAGAACTACCGGCCCATCAGCCTGGTTTCCTCGATGGGCAAAGTAGTCGAAAAGGCTATCGCCGTTCGACTAGAGAAGCAGGCAGAAGAACTGCAACCTCTCCCCCCAGAGCAATTCGGCTTCAGACCCTCCCACAACACGGAACTCCAAGCGCTACGACTGACGGAAAACATCACCAGCGGCTTCAATCTCCAGGAGGCAACCGGTCTCGTCCTGCTGGACGTGGAACGAGCCTTCGATCGAGTTTGGCACGATGGACTCATCGCCAAAATGGAAGCCGCCGGAATCGATGCGAACATGTGCCAACTGATCCAGAGCTATCTAACACAAAGATGGTTCACGGTGAAGATTGGTATATGCCATTCAACAAGACGACAGCTGGAAGCAGGCGTGCCCCAGGGGTCAGCCTTAGCCCCCCTGCTCTACAACATCTATACTCACGATGTGCCGAAGACAGCTGACACAATGCTGGCCCTATATGCAGACGACACTGCTATAGCCGCCAAACATAGACGACCTGAGATCATCCGTAGGAGACTACAGGATGAACTGGACCACATCCAGGACTGGTGCGTGAAATGGAAAATCCGCATCAACGTCCAGAAGACGCAGGCAATCTTCATTCAACGAAGAAGGATTGCAAGCCCTCTCGAAGCATCCATCTTCGACGAAGATATCCAGTGGAGCGACAAAGTCAAATATCTGGGGATCGTATTTGACAAGTCCCTCACCTGGAAAGCCCACATAGAAGCTGTCATCGCAAAGACCAGAGCAGCCATGGCTCAACTCTACCCATTACTGGGTAGACACAGCCGGATGCCGCTAGCGACCAAGCTACGGCTGATCAAGGCCATCGCCAGACCTCAGCTCGCTTACGCCTCCGCGGTCTGGGGGTACGCTGCCCCCAGCTACCGCAAGCGACTTGCTGCTCTAGAGATGAAGCTACTCCGGATCGTCACCAGTGCACCATCCTACGTAAGAAACTCAACCTTGCATAGAGACCTGCATTGGGACACCATCCACGAGTACATGAGGAAAAAAGCGGAGAAGACCTTCGAGAAAGCTCAGGACCACCCGAACGAGCAGCTACGATTCCTCATGGACTACGATCCGGACGCGAGGCCTCGCAACCGCAGAACCAGGTACCCTAGACCAAGGTCCCAGTTGGCACCCGCTAACTGGAACCTTGACTAGGAGACTAGGTGAACCCGCGGTTGCTCCCCCCCCCCCCACGGCGTGGATGCAGAGGACCAGGAACCACCGGGACCAGGACCAACCAGGACCAGGACCCGCCACGACCAGGACCCTTCAGGACTAGGACCAGGAACAACATATTGGTAAGAGGACTTGAAACTCTTGATTTTTCGAAAACAAGAGTTTCAAGAGAACCTAGCAGACCCTCTATCGATGATCGCTTAACGACATCGATAGAATGTGCGAGGTAAAGGGAACCAACCCGGCGTTCCCAGAGACTGAAACACATGAGGAGACGTTGTAGCAGACCGCAGGTCACGCACAACACATGGCCTACCGAGACGCTGATGAGTCGGGCCACGCGGAGGTTTAGGGTTTAGTGGGTATTAGGTGGACAACCTGGAGTCCCACACACGCCGTAGCTCGGGCTATGGTATGGTGCGTAAACGCATTCCCCCCTCACAAAAAAAAAAGTTGGTGGAGCCGCGGTCCATACACTTGTTTTCGTACAGCTTCAATTTGGATGTATATATACATATATACATATATTTCTAAAACACAACAAAACCGCGGTTAAAATCAACGCGTTCAAGCGATTCGAGCAACTGACGTCATCAAGTCGTGTGTCTTCTTAAACCACGTTATAACCGCTGTAAATAACACAGAAATTTTGGTTATTCGCTAGGCTTTGATTATAGATATAAAAGAAATTAGGATAAAAATTGACAGTGACAGTTTACTGACAATCAATCAAAAATGGTGTAATAATAATTACTTAACTTTCACTGTTAATGAATCAAGGGGAGGGGTGTCGTCTGCAAATTGAAAAAGTCGTTCCAATTTTTTTAACTCGTATACTTTAGGGTGGGGTGGGAGGTACGGACCCCCCAAGACACCTCTCTGGATCCGCCACTGGTGCTATTTTAGATTGGTAAAGGTTATTGCAGTTTATCTACATCCACTTACATGCTCCAATGATTCCAGCTCCAATAGAGAAATAGAGAATTTCCCCGCTGAAGAATAGCTTGATTAGATAGTACGAGATTGGAATCAACGTCACACTCAACCAGACTAACACATTAATGACAGGATAGAACCTCCTTGGCATCTCGAACGGCTCTACCCTCGGTACCCCTGACGTAGCGAAGAAGTCGCCAGTCTTCAAGAAGCTCTCTTTCAGTTTGTCCTGGAAAATACAGTAAAGTATATAGTACTCAAGGTTAATGTAAATTTTAACCTTACAATGACCTTGAAAGCTATAGTTGAGTTCAATTCCAAGGCATCATAAGATAATCCTACAACGTCTAGGCTCTCTACGACTCATAACTTTAGTTGAAAAAACCTTTCAAAAACTTCAATATACCTATTTTTACTTACCCTTATTACAAACCTATCCCTGAGGAACTTCTCCTGTGCCGCTTCCTCTTCTGGAATCTCTTCCAATGGGATACGTTTGAAGTAAATGTGAGCTGTGCACTGTTTTCCAAACAACATGTTTGTGATTGTGGGTTTAGCTGGGGCATCTTCTTTGAATGCTAGCTCGATGTCGTACAGTGCAGGAACTGTATAGAGAAATATAGCAATATAGCAATTCTGTAAATATACAAACGATAACAAAAGTTTGGAACGCAGCAAATATCTAACGAATGACTCATCTAATTTTTTTAGAAATTGGTACGTTTAGGTTCGAAACCACGGCGGATCCGTTGATGATATCCGCGATGTTGCCAAATCAACAGTTTTTCAGAAACTGATAGCAACTTCTGTTTTTCTTATGGAACGCTATACATTTTATTCGATATTTATATTCTGCGAGAAATAATGAATACTTTTTATTAAACATACTTTGACGTAGAAATAACAATAAAAGGTATTTTTTTCACCTAAGCAATGACCAGTATGGAAAATAATTTCCTGTCATTTCTGACATTGAAAAGTACATTGAGTTTTATTGGTAGAGTTAATAAAGATATGATTTATTTAACAAAAACCAAGGTCTACATCAAAGTATGTTTAATAAAAAGTATTCAGAATTTCTCGCAGAATACAAATATCGAATAAAATGTATAGCATTCCATAAGAAAAACAAAAGTTACTATCAGTTTCGGATCCACCGTGATTTCGGACTTAAACCAATTTTTCGAAAAATTAGATGAGTCATTCGTCATATATTCGAAGCGTTCCAAACTTTTGTTACACTCTGTATAATATCTACTATAATTAAAAAAAGATCTGGAATCTCGGGCTCAGGCCCCCCGGGTCCTCCATTGTCTCAACTGGCTAGATCAAGCTTGGGATCCCCGAGGGACCCTAGCATAAAAAGGACATCAGATTCAAAATCTATGTACTCGATTAACACAGGAAACGATTTTTGTTACAAGTCAATGGAACTTGGTACTTTCAGGAAATTTGGGATGCTGGATGGGAATACGACCGACATAAAATTTCCATGAACGAGGTGCAGGTAGAAAATTAACTAGCATCAATTCTTACCTTTTCCTTTCATTGGCGGCAAACTGGCAATGAAACCACGTGTGCGTGGCAACAAATGATATTTCAGTTGTGGCAAATTGTGCTTTTGTGCGAACTCTAGGGAAGCCTGATGTTTATTTGGTGCAAATCTTGTGCCCTCTGGGAAAAACAGCAACTGTAAAAATGTTTAATTCTAATCTATATCACTGAAAATATCGCGAACCAATTGAAGGGTCCGAAATTCCAGAAGTTTCAAAACATCGAAAAACCAAGTATAAGCAATGTTGAATATGCACGATTTTGTTGTTTTATATGTCGATTCATGGAAATATCTATATGTATTTTTAATTAAATATCTAAAATTCCAATGACAATAACGCTGATATAATGTTGCCTATTTGGTGCGCTTCGCGCAGTGACGTCATAACTCAAAGTTTGTCATTTGATTGTATTTTTGGTTAGGTGTCATATACCCTACTTCAGGAGTATCCATCACGCTTCAACGTCTACTAAGGTAAACAGCTGATCAGCAAGTGACTTTTATGTGTAAGTCTGCAACGTTGGCAGTAATGAATAGGGTGTAAATCGAGTAAAACTTGTTTGTAGCATTTTGTTGTTTGTTTGGAAATGAACTTTTCTAAATAAAAGATCAAGTACAAAATAAATCCGTAGTGTACAAAAAATCAAAACAAAATATGGCTCTGTCTACCTGGCATTGACGGATCCGTCAGAATTATGAGTCCTTTGCGGATATGGGGAATTTTGAAATATTACTAGATAATTAGCTGTCATTTTACCGTAATGGATACTCGTCAAAAATACCGTACTCTGTAAGTATTTATAGGTTATGTTTAATACTATAAATTACAAAAATTGGAACATCAAACGTCTGCCATTTTAAAGCGGACTGACCAATCAGGGGTTGGTTTGTAAATCACTTGGCAATGTAATACCGGACACAGTAATGGAATGTAGATTGACAGATGAAATTTTACTCTGGAATACTGTGAAACTTTATTTTTGGAACGCTTAAATTATTATAGAGTCAAGTAATGACAGTTGATGTCAGCCGAATATTTTCTAACCACGTTTTCTGCGAGCACTGCAGTTATAAGGGACCCTAGGGATACGAGGTAGCATTTACCATGAAAAATAAATATTTTGCCAATTTTGAGCATTTCTTGGTAACCAAATAAGATAAACAATTTTAAAATATACACCACTTTTAAAAAATATTTTTAATAAAATATTTCAGAGTGGATATTTCCCAGCTATATTCAAAACTGCAATAATAACACCCATATACAAAACTGGGGAAAGGTCCGAAGTAACTTAACTACCGACCTATATCGTTAATATCTTCGTTAGCTAAAATTTTTGAAAAGATTCTGAAAAAACGTATCATATACAGTTCTCAAACCTGGGAAAACCTAAAAAAACTCTAACAGAAACAGAATTTTGCAAGATTATCAAATCGTTCCAATCTAGACTTTTAACCGTAAATTACAACAAAACTTGTTACATCCCATTTTCATCCTGTGAACGATATATGCCCAAATATTCAAATTTAAACATAAAACTGAAGAACAACCAAAATGAACAATTACAACTAACTTCTTCGCGCAGTGTTAAATACCTGGGAGTGTACCTAGATTCTACCCTTAAATGGGACACGCACATACTTTTCGTAATTAAAAAATTGCGTACAATACTTTACAAATTTAAATATCTTATGAAATACTATGACCTCTATCAAATGAAAGTAGTTGAGAGCCATTTGAGGTATGGTGTGATCACGTGGGGAGCAGCGTGTAAGACACACATGAAAAATCTGGAGACAATACAAAAGTACATTCTAAAGGTAATATAAAATAAGCCAAGAATATACCCAACAGAACAATTATATACCGAAATCGGAGTGTATGATATTCGACAACTCTACTTCATCGAGACCATCATGAAGGAGCACCAACTAAAACATAAGTTACGCCAAACTGAGCATGACTATGATACTCGCCATAAAGTGAGAGCATGTTTACCAAAGCCTCATGTCAATGTCATGCAGAGATCATTCCAATACCTAGGACCGAAACTTTATAATAGTTTGCCTATATAATTCTATGCAGTTTAAAAAAGAACTAAAAAAGTGGATTAATGAAATACCTCGCCTCCACATACATCAAATAGTACATATAAAAACGATTAAAACCTTTTTTTTTAAACTGTCAAGGATTTTTTTTAAAAGTTCTTAATACAGCAGACGCTCCATAATGTAAACTAATTTAATCCAAGTGTGGTTCACATTATCGAAATGTTTACATTAGCGAACGTGATTTATATAATATTTGATTTATTAAAAGAAACGTTTAATACATACTATTTATAACAAAATAAAGAAATATTCTAACAGCGATAAGTATTTTTTTAATTAGAAGAAAAATAATTATCAATTTTTGTCTGCGTAAATTTGCGCTTAGCATTGTCTTCCAATGCCTGCGCCCGTAATTTACGAAGAACTAAAATATCAGTGTATGAAACTTCTTTTCTTTCAGCCCAATCTAAAGCTTGGTTAAAAATTTGTATAGCTTGCGCGTCAGTCACTACACTTCTGACTTCAATGGGATCGTTCTCATCATCCTCACTGTCCATATCCTCCTCCTTATCAGCATCATTCGTCTGCTTATCTTCGTTCCATAAATTAATATCAGCAGGAGTACAAACAATGTTGGGATTCACTGTTTTCAATAAATCAACAACATCCAATGACACACTAATAACATTATCATTATTGGATCGCAAACGTTCTCTAATTACGCTTAAGGGGACATCGTCTTCTTCATCATCTTCATTATTGGTACAAAAGAGACTGTGCCAACATTTTTGAATAGTTTGCTGGTTAAGTTCATTCCAGGCCATATGTAAATCTAATACAGCTTCTCGTAATGTTACTTTTTTTAAAGCCTCAGATAAGTTTTCAGGATTCTTTGATAAGACAGACGAAAGTAGAAACTTCCTATAGTATAGTTTGGTGAGTCTTATTATGTATATTCTGGTCCATCGGTTGAATTAATGGTGTTACGTTGGGCGGCATGTACATGACGAAAATTGACCCATCCCTGCTCCTCAGTTGTTGCTCGGGAGGTTGACTTGGTGCATTATCCAATAGTAACAACGCTTTTATTGGAAGTTGTTTTAGGAAACCTTTTACCTACAAATTGAAAACACATCTTCAAATTATGAATAGAGCATTTGTGATAATTGATTGTCATACCTGAGGGACAAAGCACCTGTGGAACCATTTCAGGAATATACTGCTAGTTATCCAAGCGGTTTTTGAACAGTCATAATCAACAGGGATATTTTTAAATGAGCGCGGATTTTTTGCTTTCCCAATTACCAGTGGCTTTATTTTGTGTGAACCATTAGCATTAGTGCAGGCTAGAAACGTTATTCGTTGTTTCTCCGGCTTTCTTCCCGGGGCAGATTTTTCAAATGATGCAGCATAGGTTTTCTCTGGTAACATTGTCCAATAAAGGCCACTTTCATCTGCGTTGTAAATTTGTTCCATTCTTAAATCTAGCTCGGTAATTGTTTTCATCAATTTTTCTTTGAATGGTTGCACTAATTGTGGTTGTGCTGATAATTTTTCACCAGATATAGACAGCAGTCGAATTCCATATCTTGTTTTAAATCGTTGTAGCCAGCCATCACTAGCTACGAAATTTTCAGTTTCTTTCAGTTTTTCATTTAACAGTCTCGCTCTCTGTTTAAGTACTTCGCCACTAACTGGGACATGATTTTCCCGTTGTTTTAAAAACCACTTATACAGGGAATTTTCCATTTTAGGTGCCTTCACATTTTTTTAAGGTTTTTCTTTTTCCCGGACCTCCAAATGTATTGCACGTTCTTTGAGTTTTCATACGCTTAATTTTACAGATTGTTGCTTTCGATACTCCATATTTTTTTGCTAACTGTGTCACTCCCGCACCTAGTGCAACTTCGTCTATGATTTTCACTTTCTCACTCAACTTTAAACACTTTATTTTATAGGATGTGGATGCCATAGTCGTAAAATATATTAACGCGTGCAATGTATTCACTTAAGTTCAAAAATGAAATACGTACGTATAAACGTATCCTAAACGATCATACGACTGACCGAGTTTGTCGTATTTTATCGCAGAGGTGAATCCCCTACACTCTACATCATCGACGCCCGACATGAATCATCGAGGCTTCAGCATTTTACCGTCGCGCTGTTTCCGTGCGCCGAGAGTTGTTTACGTTATCGAGCGTACACATTGTTTACGTTATCGCGCGTTCGGTTTGATCCTATGGAACGAAGTTTGTGTTTACATTAGCGCAAGTTTTCATTATCCCGTGTTTACGTTATCGAGCGTCTGCTGTATATACATAAGGTTAAGCATATCCAAGTATGCAGCAGCTATAAAGCAAATGAACTTCCTAATATGACATTCTCTAATTCGTCGCACACCCGATTATGACGATTTTACCTATAATGACAATTATACTGATATAGACTGAATATTGGATAGACATCTCACCACGCACAGGCTTTGCCTTCTGTGGGTATTTTATATTTATTTGCATGTTTTTTTATTTCACCTGTAACATTTGTAACTGAATTGAAAGCAAATAAATATTATTATTATTATTGATTAATGAACCACGAGAATGAGTAGTACAAAGTACTCTCTATAAGAATTTACGAAAACAGCCCAACAAAGGCGGTCATAAGCTGCAAATTATCATGTCACGCCAATAGTGTTACGTTTCGACATTTTAAATTTACCGAGTATTTTTCCATGTTTGATTAATTGACACCCATATAGCGTTCGCGTATAAGGTTGAAGGCGTCACTCTGTAGCCCTATAGATTGCAAATGAAAATATTTAGGCGATACTTGGATCACATGCATATTCTCTATCCAAAAGATAAACGGCCTTTCCATCCTTGCTACAGTTCGCATATATGTTTTGTTAACAGATAGATAGCATGCTCTGAGTTATATTCATCAAGGACCAAGGACTGGACTGATAGAAAGAGATACAACAATGGGAACATAATAACATACTGTTTTGTACTGTACATGTCTTACACTGGAGTTAAAAAACGGCAGGCAACACTGAATCTAGAATATATACTAAGTGACATATAAATCCGAGCACCCAGTTTAAACGGTTTTATTTTAGTAAAAGTTGGTGAATGTATTTATCTTACTGTAAATAACAAGTGACAAAATTTTCAGCCTTATCAGTTGGACATTCCGGTTTTTATACTACTTTTTTTTAATTCACTAACGCTCTAAAAATGAATGTTTCAGCCGCAGTAAAGAATCAACGTTGGCGGATTTTGGTTCTTAACATCCTTTACGATCGGTTACGATGCCTAGAGTACGGAGACCTGTACGATTTCGTCAACTTAGCGAGTTTGGTAGGGGCCGTATAGTGGGACTTCGGGAAGCTGGACTTTCTTTTCGGGCAATTGCAGTTAGAGTGCAAAGAAGTGTAGACACTGTGGTTAGGTGTTGTCAGGCATGGCTTCGAGAAGGCCGTACGCAAAGAGCAAGGGGCACTGGACGCCGCCGTAGAACAACAGACCGTGAAGATCGCCGCCTAAGATTATTGGCCTTAAGGGACCGTTTCTTCACTACCAGGTCCATTGCAAATGAATGGTTTGCAGAACTCGGAAGACCTATTGGCATGCGAAGTGTTTACCGACGAATGAGAAGTTTTGGCTTGTTTTCATACCGGCCACACTGGGTCCCCCCTTTAACTCGAGAACACCGACGTAATCGCCTTGAGTGGTGCAGACAACGGTCACTCTGGGATCAGGAATGGAACAGTATTGTCTTTAGTGACGAGTCTCGATTTTGTTTAGGCATGCACGATGGTCGTGCCAGGCTTAGAAGGCGACGTGGTGAAAGGAGGGATCCACAGTTTTTTGTTGAAAGACATGTTCATCACACTGTTGGAGTTATGGTTTGGGGTGCTACAGCTTATGGTTCCAGGTCACCTTTAATCTTCATCAGAGGTAACATGAACGCGCAGCGTTATATCCACGAAGTTCTAGAACCCCATCTTTTACCCTATCTTGACACCCTGGCAGATCCAACTTTCCAACAAGATAATGCCCGACCACATGTTGCAAGAGTCACAATAGACTTCTTTCAACATAATGATGTCACATTGTTACCATGGCCACCAAGATCTCCCGACTTATCCCCAATTGAGCACGTGTGGGATATGATGGGTAGGAGATTGCTCAATTTGCAACGTCCTCCTCAGACTCTAGAAGCACTTTGAGAGGAGTTGGTGGTTGCCTGGAATGAGATACCACAGGAGGACATTGACCACCTGATCAGAAGCATGTCTAGGCGCGTTGGAGAATGCGTAACACATCAGGGTGCATCCTCACATTATTAAAGGTCAAAGGGCTTTAAAGCAGTGCAATCATTTAAATTGGGTGTTCGGATTTATATGTTACTTAGTATATTTGATGAGAAACAATGCTTGTTTTAGATTCAAAATAAACAACTTTATCTGCAAAGCTAACATAAGCACATTATAATCAAAAGTTACGTCTGGATATCTTATCTGCAAAAATTGCTTCAGTGATACACATTTAAAATTTTTATAACACGATTAGTAACGACTGCGAAGTGAAATCATTTTAATATTCAATATTATATTTGTACACCATATTATACTTATTACTATTAGCTATCACCTCGTTACATGATAATGATAAAAAAATACTTGAAAAAAGAGGTAAGTGAGCTAAATAACAAGTTTGTATGTGGAGCATTGATGATCACGCATTTTAGCGTACATTATTATTAAAAGATATTTAGAGTTCATTTATGTACGCGATTTAAACAACAGCTATCACTCCTGTCCATAAAAGCGGTGTCAGAACGGAAACATCCAATAACAGGCCCGTATCAGTACTGTTGAATATAGCCAACAATTTTGAAAGACTATTACAAAATAGGATATTACAATTTTTGGACAAAAACAAAATTACATCTTCTGACAGATATTGGCTTAGAAAAGGAAACTTACTACAAATGCAATTTTGGCTGCAATGGATGAAGTTAACTCTAATTTAAAAAAAACTACTATTGGTATCTTTGTTAACCTGAAAAATGGCTTTGATATGTTGAACTCTGTAGAGCTTCTCAAAGTTATGGATAGATTGTGATTTAGGGGAACATCACAAATACTATTAAATAGCTACCTTTCAGGTCGGATAGAGACTGTCAAAATATCTAACACTTTCAGTAAAAAATGAACATCAAGTGTGGGGTGCCTCAAGGAACAGTACTAGGCCCATTATTATTTAATTTATATTTAAATGACTTATTCCTAATTGATAGTACTGGTAAGATTATATGTTTTGCAGACTGCACCCTCATATTATATAAAACAGATAACTGGAATACACGCTTGAAAACGACTTTATGAGGACCATTAACTGAAATTTCAATAGTTCCAAAAACAAAATTTACAGCTTATTCAGAATTTGTAGCAAGCTTCAAACAAATTTTCGTTAGTTATGATGGCCAAAAAACAAAAAATGGATAGATTCAAGAGTTTAAAATATCTATAGATTCATATTTAAGGTGGGATAACCATATCACTTATGTTATCAAGAAAACCAAAAATGTTGCCTATAAACTCAAAATACTTGAAAACATCCTAGCAGAAAGTTATCTTTGAATACTGTGCTATATCTTAGTTGAAACTCATATAATATACAGCATCACAGCCTGGGGTATCACCTGCAAAACATATACTAAGTGACATATAAATCCTAACACCCTGTTTAAATGGTTTTATTTTAATAAAATGAAGCATAATAAGTAAATAAAAATTTCAAAATGATTGCACTGCTTTAAAGCCCTTTGACCTTTAATAATGTGTGGATGCACCCTGATGTGCTACGCATTCTCCAACGCGCCTAGGCATGCTTCTGATCAGGTGGTCAATGTCCTACTGTGGTATCTCATTCCAGGCAACCACCAACTCCTCTCGAAGTGCTTCTAGAGTCTGAGGAGGGCGTTGCAAATTGAGCAATCTCCTACCCATCATATCCCACACGTGCTCAATTGGGGATAAGTCGGGAGATCTTGGTGGCCATGGTAACAATGTGACATCATTATGTTGAAAGAAGTCTATTGTGACTCTTGCAACATGTGGTCGGGCATTATCTTGTTGGAAAGTTGGATCTGCCAGGGTGTCAAGATAGGTTAAAAGATGGGGTTCTAGAACTTCGTGGATATAACGCTGCGCGTTCATGTTACCTCTGATGAAGATTAAAGGTGACCTGGAACCATAAGCTATAGCACCCCAAACCATAACTCCAACAGTGTGATGAACATGTCTTTCAACAAAAAACTGTGGATTCCTCCTTTCACCACGTCGCCTTCTAACCCTGGCACGACCATCGTGCATGCCTAAACAAAATCGAGACTCGTCACCATTCCTGATCCCAGGTTCTTTCTGACCTCATTGAGAAAAATTTGATCTTTTCAGGAAGCACCAGTATTCGACGACAAAATTAACAAATTTAACATGTTTTTGTGAACTTTTAAGATCTGGTCCCCCCTCTGAGAAAAATTGCTTCCCTATACTCTTTAAAAAGTTTTGTGGGCTGATATAATTTTACACAAAGTTACCTTTCGGTGGTCCCCCTTGGCAAAAGAGTCAGTATAAAACCTCATTTTATTTGTTATTAAAATTGTAAATTTATCAACAGTTCTGTGATATATATATATAAATATATATCTTTTTAATGTTTATAAACATGACCCAACAGAAACCTCGACCTCTAATAAATCATTGATAAAGTTGAGTTACTGTACTACTATTTCCAACTGATAAGATACATCTTTTTTATAGTTTCAATGACTTCATATAGTAGTAATGGATTACTGAAAAAATTGAGAAAAAAAAACGATGAACATTCATCATTTGATATGATTATGATAAATAATGTATGTAGATTGGAATATTGATCAAAATAATTAAATGCTCTTAAAAATCACACTTAAATGTGACCTTCAAAAAAGGGTAGTTCAGGTAGCAGCCTTGCCAAAAGCCTAACTTAGAAATGTTATAAATCTGAAACAGGTATAGATTATTTATAAACTGCAACAATTTTTGTCAGTCAGCATGGAATTTTGTTGTTGTGAGAAATTGAAAATGAGACTTACCCACATAGGATCAGGATGCTCAGCCAACTCTTTTATCTGTTCGTTGATCACTCCTTTATCTTTTTTGAAATCTCTTTCTAAAAATACAAACTCTGAAAACTTCCATGACCAGCCCAACACTGGAATGTACTGTACCACTTTTTTAGCATATGCTTTACAATTCTGCAAAACATAAATGTAATATTGAAATCAGATATCTAGAAGTACAAGATACTGCAAAAACATTATGTGATTTAATTAAACTACTTCTTTGACCTGTAAAAAGGAACCAAACCTTTAATGAAAGAAAATAAAATTCAAAGTTGAATGATTTTCTTGCATGACGCAAAATATATATGTTATACTATTATACGTATACAATTTCCTCATATTCAACTATGCATAGCTAAATTATGGATAATGTCTTATTCCTGATAAAATTATCTCATAATTATCACTTATTGTTTTATGATTATTTCGGTTGAACGAATTCTGGTTGATAAGAGTTAGTTAAAGCAAATATAGGAGAACGTTTTTACAGTGAGTTTAAATAGTTATGTACAAACAAAACCTTAAATTTGTCAGCTATATATACAGGATATATTACTTACCCCTAATAAATGGTTTCTGTCAGCTATCATCCAACCTATAAGCCAATCTACCTCATATGTATGATTCATAACACAATATGCATGCTCCTTGCCCCAATATTTCTCAAAATCATTTCGGTCAATATAAAATATTACATTTGTCCCAGACCACCAGTCACCCAAAAACACCAATTCTAGAAACAAAAAATAATATTTATTCATCATACATAAACATATCTGGCAATGTAAAAAAATAAATAACATTTGATGAACAAATAAATAAACCAAATAAGGAAAGTTCTTGAGAGTGATATCAATAAATCATATCTACCCTTGCGGATTTCTATAGGTAAAAATTTCACCCATACTTTTTAATTCCCATTCATATACATTGGGATTTTCAGGTTTTTTATGTCTAGAGGTACAGTACTGAAACATTTTTGGCATAAACATCTGGTAATTATACTTTTTTTGTTTGTTTTGGCACTATAATTTTGATACTTGATAATAAAAATAAAAAAGAATCTCTTCATGCATTGTTTTGGAAAAATAAATAGCCAGTAAAATTATTATGCTGAGAACATGTTAGACAATATTTATGTTTAGGTAATATTTAGTTTGTCATTATCCATCCATTCCAATGATAAACGAATGAAGTACAACATTGTATTTGATCAACATTTCAAATGTAGGTCAACTGGCATAACTTACGCAAAGAGTAAAAGTTTTAAAACAAAGTTAAGCAAATATAAGCCTGAGTGATATTTGCATTTGTACCCAAATAGATTTTGTATTATACTGATCAATTACACTTATCAATGACAAGTGATATTTGAACTTGTGCCTCAAATATGTTTTATACTTAGTAATTACACTTATCAATGAGAATTTAATACAAAACTGAGAAATATAGGAAAAAGAAAATAACATATATCATAAAATGTCAAGGAAATCTATATAAAATATGGCTTATATTCACTTTTAGAGGCATAAACTCAAATCGAAAAGATCTCAACACTATCATTATGTGACAAGAGTTTCTAGGTTTCAATGATATTGGAAATTCCATATTATTCTTTAGCCTTTGATACAACACAGTTTCTTAAATTACTATGTGTAACACTACTTAAGGGTATAGCTATTATATAACGAAACAGGACGAAACTGAGATGAATGTGTGACTGTTTTTTTGCTCTTCAATGCTCATGGGAAGCATACACATAAAGGCCCCCACAACTTATGTTGGTATAGCCCCGCTCACCACATTTTAACACTAATTTTATGGCAAAATGTGAAAATAAAGTTAAAAATACTCACGTGCGTACATTGTACAGCAAAGATACCAGTTTATTTTCCTATACAACCATTTGTTGAACGGCCTTAGACAGAGGTACAGAATCCCTTGTACTGCATTCACAATAACACCGGATGTGAAAAAAGTTATCGATAAGCATAAGTGTACCAGGCGTGATTGCTTCAACAGTTTCCAATTTTCCGAATTCATCTTGTACAGATGGCTCACGTACTGAACAACTTTGGATTTGTCTGTTATAGGGAAAAATATCTTGAGTGTTTCATTACCGAATCTTACGTTATCAATTGAGGAATGCGTGACACATATATAAAGCATATGACACTATAGATAAAACCAATTTTTAATTGAACTTTTGTATTTAGATCAGTTTATTTTTAGTAAAGTTGAATCAAACTAACCTAGATGAGAAGTGATAGAAAGTCGACTTCAGTTGTCGGGTCACGGTTCACACCTTTGTCGTTCTCGGGGATAATTTAAAAGGCAAAAATGTTCAATTACAAACTACTTGATTCATTCCGAGTATTAGCATGCATTAAAAACGCGGAAAAATTGTGTTTTGTTACGTCATCACTTGATTGCAAATATTAAAATGTAAATAAACGTTGACGGGTCGCAAGGAAGGTGAAGTAGGTGTCGAACAAACGTCACTTTGCAGGTTGGCCAAAACACAAATGTCACAAGCGGTCAGTGGATACCGTTACGTCACCACGGCAAGTTGCAAGGTAAATAAGAACTACGCAAGAACGAGAACTGCCTCGTAGCATAGTGGATGCGATGTAAAGGACTGATCGATGACCGATGCGGCAAGTGTGTCAAGTAAACTGATACAGACTAACCACTAGTCGTAAATAAATTAATGCTATAGCTTGATGAAGAATTTAACGGGTATAATCTGATCCCAAACATACCTATCGAGGTAGATCACTTATCACAGCTTATATTTAAATGTTACCTATTTAGTTTTTCATAGCACAATAGTAGCAGTCATACTAAGCTATGTCTAACATTTTGTTGATAAACGTGTATTTTTAATGGTTGTTGGGATAAACAGCTTTCGAATGTAATAGTAATAGTCAGGGGCGTGGTAACGGGGGTTTTGGTGCATTTCTTATGAAGGAAACTAGAATTTGTTTGTAAATGGATTTCTATTATGGGTCGGTGGCTGCAAACAAGCAGTTTGATCAGCGTAACGAGCGCATTCAGTCAAGGATTTTAGGCTGAATAGCCATATGGCATAGCTTTGACAGTTTGACAGCAGTTTTCTCTTGCCCGTTAGATTTGATAGTATATTTGTCAAATGTTGCGAACTGTCATAGCTATGCCACGGTTAGTACTAGTCAACATAAAATCCCCAACTAACAATTATCACTCCTATTAGAGTTGCAAGAATGATTATACAGCATTCCTTGTATACTGTAAGAACATTGGCAAAACCCTCTTAGAACAGCTATACAAGCGGAATGGGCACACGTAATAGGACTTCAGTCATTTAAGAGGTTGTATAAGGGCTGCAGGTAATAGTTATAAAACAAAAGTGTAGCCTCTTGCAGCCGCTATAGGACATTTGCGTCAGTGCAAGATTCAGTTTTTGTCAACTATACAACTATTCTGTTACGTGATTCTACTTTATTGCAACCAAACTATTTCTTATGTATTGTATAGACGAAGTGAAGAATATATAACTAACACATTACAGTCATCTTGTTTACTTATATATCGGCCATTGGAGATTTCATACACAGGTATATGATAAACTTCTATACGGTGATATAGGGCTACTGAATTACTTGCGCAGCAAATTTTATTGTGACTATCGTGCAGATTAGTTACCCAATTTCTAAGGGCTTCGTATTTTGACAATGATCAAAAGTATGTCTAGATTTTTAAGATGGAAAACTGAACTTATCTGCGTTAAATCTTCCACAAATCCTATATTTAGACACAATTACACTAATGTTTATCACTTTATATCTGTAATTTCGAACTGAAACATAATTATTTAATATTAAATAGAGGAATAAATGTTTGCCCAATATGGCGGGTGGTTGTGTACAATCATGGCATCGTCCATGTTGTCTTTAGGTTATTAGAATATTTTGGTGTTGCCTGCAGGTGTTATACAACAATTTGACAAATGTCTTAAATCAAATACCTACAGAGTCGAATGATTTACCCATAATTTGTACCAGATCTATATCTTCTGTTTGAACAGTTGATAAAACCTTTTGAACCAATATGCATGCGTTGTTTGTCTTAAAACATTGATTATGGCATTTTACAAAAATATGACAGCAGAAAGTTAGGTTATGGTGAAGTTGTTTATATATATATTATATTTAGCATATGTACAGCCTTAAACAGTTACTAAACAACAGTTGTATAAGTGCTGCCGTTGGGAGCAATTTGTCGGCTAAAGTAGTAAATTGCACAGCAAAACAACAAGGCTCGGGTTTGTTTTATAAACGTTACCATGGATGCCACAACACAACCATTTTGACTAACGTGCAAATATGCCGTATAAAATAGTTGTATAAACGTTTATGCAACAGTTAAAAATTTGCCCTATAAGGTGTTGTATAACTATGCTATAAGAATATTTTAAACACTTCATTTTAGAGCAAATATGTTGCAGAAAGCAAATCTGCATTCCACACAACATTAAGCCAGCATTTTGGTGTTCAGGCAACAACAATAGAGAGCTTTTATGGCTGAACGGTTCATTTACCAAAAGCTTATACTACTACTTTGCTAGTTGGGTCTCTGCACTGTACGTTCGGCCTAACACGCTCAACGAGAAATGATTAAAATGGATCAATTGTAATATTTGTTAGGTAGACGAAATGTGGTGAAATATTGCTGATTTTTTACACGCTGCATGATAAGAGCTCATATGTATTTGTTGAAAGCTGATCAAGTTTATTATTGTTTCATTTCTATGAAATTAAAAGTTTTTGATTAAATCAATCTTGTTTCTATACTGTTCGTATCGATTCTCACTGACGACGATCTTCAAAGTGTTAGACAAAAACAGAAAAATCTACTGAGTGACCTAAAATTTTGTTTTTTAGTAGCAAATTACGAAATCTGCCATAAGAACTGAAAATTGGTAAAACTACTTTACTGAAGCCAGACTGTTTTTTTTTAAATCGGCACAATTATCTGCAAACACTCGCACTGTTCGGGAATAACACTATAAATATGAATGCAATGACAGAACTGTAAAAAATTGACTTATGTCAAGTTCACTTGGATCCTCACTACATACTATGAGGATTACTAGACCAATAAATCCTTGTCTGGCTCTTTCTACCTAGTCTGAATTCGTTGGCTGTAACCAATAACGCCTTATTCTTATTTCCCAGTCCTGCCATTAATTGTAGTTTAAGCGTTATTTTTTTAAGCTGTACTACCTATCTCACATAATTCTCAAAGAGCAGCACACGCCTAATGATGTAGATGTTTCCACCGGTAACTAGTATTATGTTGATACGACGCTGTCACTTTGGAAGGCAAGAATGTGTCAACAGTGTGCACTAAAACTGCGCAATTTAGGCGTCAAACAATGCATGTAAACCTATTGGCTTGGCTCCTCATAACATATTCGAATTCGTTGGTTACAAGAGAATAGGCAGTCAAGTCAGTCGTTGGTTGTCAGAGCGGTCCGTTGGACCTTAGCTCTTGAGTCAGAGTGTCAGTTTGTAAGTCTGTCATGTCTGGTAACCCAGAAACCAGACAATTTTAAGGAAAAAAGGGAAAGAAAGGAGAGAAGGAAGAACGAGAGCAAAGGGGAAGAAGATAATCTTTTAGGATAGGCAGCGTTTAGGCATTGCTAAAATCACTTCACAGATTTTGATATGGTCTAAAAATATTCGATTTTTTCTAAAGATTTTGTCAAAATGCCCCAATTTTGGTTGTTCTAAGTTCACGAGTTAATTTTGACTACAGTGCGAGCCGCGGCCTTTTGTGCTTGCGAACTTGCTCGACTGTGTAGTCCACTGACTCACGCAACAGAGTATGGTTCCGCCAAGTCATACCTTTGTCCAGAATGACACCGATATACTTAGCGGAGGATTCCCATGGTATACGAAGTCCATTCATTCTGAACGCCGCGACGTCTTTTTGTACAGTAGATTGCCTGCGTTTTCGAATGGTTTATTTTAATTAGCCACCGATCCGCCCAATCTAATACTTCCTCCACCGCACTTTGCAGCCTGTGTTGGACTAGGTCACCAGACCACGACTGAGCCACCAATGCAGTATCGTCAGCATAGAGATAAACTTCACAGTTGCTGGGGCTAGGGACGTCATGGATGTACAGTGAGTAAAGGATAGGTCCAAGGACCGAACCCTGAGGGACGCTGGCTATAATCAGCCGTGTTGTCGACAGGACATTGTCAATTTTGATACGAAATTTCCTACCTTCAAGGAAGGATTTCCGTTTTAGAAGCCAAAAAGGGAAGCCCTTTTGGATTAGTTTATGCAAGAGGCCCGCGTGCCACACCTTGTGAAATGCTTTTGAGACATCCAAAAGCAAGATGCCAGTATTTTCGTTAAGGGTGAATCCTCTGGTTACACGTTCCACCAGCCTAACCACCTGTAGCTCCGTGGCACATGGCGATCTGACGAGAAATTCTCAAGGTGACGTAGAATCACCTTTTTAGCGAGCTTAGACAGAGCTGACAGCAGGCTAATGGGACGATAATCCTGGGGAAATATCGAACCCACCTTCTTTGGAATCATTATAACTTCAGCGGCCTTCCACGCGGATGGGAAGTACTGGATCCTTAGCATGGCATTGACTATTGCCACGAGATAAGCTAAGGACTTCCGCGAAAGCAGCTTCAGCGCCTTATTAGTGATTTGATCCTCCCCAGGTGCTTTACGCACTTTAAGGTCTTTAATATGACCTTGAATCCCTGCTGGTGTGCACTGCGGGATCTCAGGAGATGTCGCTGATGTGCTAATCAGATCTTCGGATGAAGAAGCTTCTGAAGAAGAATCTTCTGATGAAGAAAAATCACCAAGGATAGCGCGACTGTCACTGACGCTGTTGGCCCTAAAATACCTCCTGACAGATCTTACGATGTGTTGCTCCTCGTCGAGGTCATTATCAAGATCATAGTTGGTAGAGAACTGTCTTTCCATGGCATCGGCAAAACCCTCAACCTTTTCCTCCGTCCTGAAGACAATGCCTCCAGGACCGTGGATGTGTGGGATTTGTTCACGCTTTCCGTTTTTGAGCGACTTCGCCACCTTCCAGAGAGGAATGCTCCCAAACAATTCCAAAAAAGAATTTTGATAAATGCAGGCTCTCGTCGATTGTACCTAGCCGTTTGCAGGAAAGATCGTCTGCAAAGCCTGTGTTGCGCTAATCAGAGGACCTATGATCTGCTGTAAGGACCTTAGCGCGGTTGCCAGGTCCACATTTTGCGTGTTCGCAGAAGATCCCACAGAGGGGGCAGCCCGGGTTGCATCCCTAGCTGCATCCGCGTAACTTACATTGCGCCTTTGCGCTATCACTTGCAGATTTTACTTAGGGGCAAATCTGCAAGTTCGGCTATTCGCTGGATGCCCCCCTCCACAGTTCGCGCACTTTCGTTCCTCTTGTTCTGTTTGAGTTCATAAGTGGGTCATGTGGTCAGAAGCACAGACACTTAGGTGGTGCTGTGCAGTAAGATTGCGCATGCCCATATTTTTGGCAGCGGTGACTCTGCCCGATGAGTCTTGAGTTCTTTTGAACTTCGACTCGGATAGCCAAACCTAGCAGCTCATGTTCGTTGGACAGCTGCTGAGATTTTTCTATCTTGGGCAGTATGACTACCACCAAAGGCATAGGCACGCCGCCACCGCGTTTCAGGCGAATTATGTGCAGGCGGGAATATCCCCTCAGTTGCAACTCTTCCTTGATCTCCGTTTCCAAAAGTGTCGCAGGTACTCCTCTGATTACAGCATGAATGTTCCTCTCCGAGGGTAGAGGGAAAGTGTGATGGCACCTCTTTCTCCCTGAAGAGATGAATAATCCTGCGGTATTCATCCTCGGACTTGGAAATTATCCTGATTCCTGCATCGACGGCAACCGCGCGTTCGAAGTTGATACCCAAAGAAATAAACTCGTGATTTACCCCTCGCCATCTCGAAGCATCGCGAAAAACCATGGGGGTAACACGTACCCTGCGGTGTCGAAGGCGAAGAAGTAACCGATAGATTAGGCACAGGCTGTTTATTCGAGTCGCTTGCAGTGGTACGAGACGTTTCAGACTGCAATTTTGGTGGAGGGAGAGGAGGAAAGCCTGTCGTGTCGGTCTTGTTTGGTCGCGTTTTACGGGGCTTAACCTTGATAAAACCGCCAGGGAGTGTTTCGTCGTCAGTGGAAAGATCGCTTGAATTATTTAACGGTCTCTTAAGATTGACAGCTTTGTATTTACTGGGATTTTGTTGGAGTGTTTGGGAAGAATGTGTAGTATTTAGATGGGAAGGCACCTGGGTTTTCAGTAGGAGGTCTAATTTAACTGTTAGGTCGGTAATTGTCCGCTGCTAGGCTTCGATGATCATCATCAATCTTTCATTGGTCTCCTTATCATCGTCCTTTTTTGAAAGCTCCTGTCGAACCATCTCCAATTCGGCTCTCAACTCCTCTACGTTCTGCTCCTTCGACTCAATCTCCATTGCCATGGTGGAAGCGCCATTTCCTGACCCCCCTGGGTCAGTTTCCATAGTAAATACCTCGGTTATCTCGCTTTTCGCTATACAGGGCGATTTAAGAGAATTGTTCGGAACTAATTCTGAACTGTACTTACCTCGGGCATGCGCAGAAAAATAATTCGGAATTATTTCTAAACTAATTCAGAACTGCTTGTGACAATCAGTGGGCTCAGACTTCAAACATTTTGTGACTTGTTCGGTTTTGAGGGTAACACTCAGCGCATTGGCGGAGGAGTACTTTATAATTTGTTTGCCTTCTTCTATATCACTAAGCCTTTTTGCATCTATTCTTAACTTCGTCAGATAACTATATTATTCTCTCTGTTTGATCTTCCACGATAAATTCAATATTAAAATTGTAACTTAGGCCCGTATCGTCAGTCGTCCCTACAATTGTAGGGCGCGTTTATGGCCTCCATGATTGTCATACTCTTTTCTCTCCTTCAAAAATTTCTAGATTACACTCGTCCCGTGTCGGCGTCAGCGCTCTCCTATTGTGAAGATATGTTTTCCTTTTAAATTGTAGGAAATTTCAGGCTGATAAAACATGATAAAACTCAAAAGCAAGCACAATTTGATGCAAATAGATGTTTGTGACATAACCTCAAAATAGAGCGCTGACACGGAGAAATAGAGAACTATGACAATCAAGGAGGCCATAAATGCGCCCTACAATTGTAGGGACGACTGACGATACGGTCCTAAATGATCCTTTATTCGTCATTGTCCGTCAGAGCAGTCCGTGGGACCTTTGCTCTTGGTTAAAGTATTGTAGGTTTGTCAGGTCTGGTTGCCCAGAAACCAGGCAAGGTCAGGGAGAAAAAGGGAAGAACAAAGGAAGGAAGGGTAAGATCAAAGAGGAGGCAATGCGTAAGTTGAAGGGGTGCCTTGGCATTGTTAACTAGCATTCGGTAATTTTAAGTTGATCAGAAAATTAATTTAGAATAAATTAGAATTAAGATTGCAATTTTGGTTGGCCCTGGAACTGTACGATTTGATTTTGTCGTCAGTGCGAGCCGCGGTCTTGTGTGCTTGCGAACTTGCTGGACTGTGTGGTCTACCGACTCACCCATCAATAGAGGGTTGCTGTGCGATTCCGCGTAACTGTAATGTAACTGCGCATGTTTTTTGATGTACTCCCTTAAGTAGGGGATGTCTGTGAAAGGTCTCGCTGGAGACATACCATTGGGCGTTAGTGACAGTACGAAAGGTTCTGTTCTGCAGACCCTGCAGACTACGCATATGCGTTTTGGCAAGAAAGCACCATGCTTAAGTGATTGCTGGTATAATAACCATCTTGTATAACCGAACTTTGTTGAACAAACTTAATTTTGAGGTTCTACATAGCATAGGGTAGAGTTGCCGGAACGTAATTTGGGATTTTATTTTTCAATATTTCAGTGTGCTTCTGCCAGGTCATCCCTTGTCAAGAGTGACACCACTATTCTTGACAGAATTTTCCTTTGGCATACGAATTCCGTTCACTGAAATTTCAGACGGGGCCCCCTACGTTTTTTTTTCAATAGATAGCCTGTGCTTTCGAATAATTAATTTTGATCAGCCACTGGTCTGCCCATTCTACGTGAATACATGATAGGCCCGAGAACCGAAGCCTGAGGGACACCGGCTCTGATGGTCCGACTGACGACAAGACATTATTAATTTTGATCCGAAATTTCCCATCTTCAAGGAGGGATTTCAAAAGTTTTAGGAGCCAAAATGGAAAGGTCTTCTTGGTTAGCTTATAGAAAACGCCATTGTGCCACACATTGTCAAGTGCCTTCGAGACATCCAGAAGAAAGATGCCTATACTTTCGTTAAGCTGCTGGTTATTTGCTCCACAAGCCTAACCGCCTGTAACTTCGTACTACTGGGTCACTTAATCATGTGTCACGGGTTGTCACGTGCTAAAATCACGTGATTTCGATCACTTCCTAGTAATTTGAGTTTCTCTTTATTATTGAAAGAGTGCCCATTCCTAGGCCAAACCCTTTTCAATGACTGTCTTTTGGTAAATTTCATAGTTTATTGATTGTATAATTTCACACGTAGTACATATTCCTTTCTCAGTGATTCAGTATTGCGTTGAACAAAAATGTTTTTTCTGTTACTTGGTTTCCTATCGAACATATCTTCTTCAAGGCCACTCATTGAACCTTCCTTCTATAAAGTTACTTGTTTCGTATCAGTCACTTTCCTCCTGAGGTTGTGGTGTAAGCATCATTTCGTTCAATCTCCAAATTCTGGGATCTAAGGTGCCAATCACCAGTGAGTGCAGAGATGATTGGAATCGATTCTTTCAATCCCCCCTTTCTGGGCCTGTAGGAGCACCCGAGACGACAGTTCTAAAGGCTTGTGGCATCATTGTTTTGTGTTCTATGAACACCAAATTGTCGTATTTCTTTGGAAACCTCTATACAGGGTGACTTTGAAGTTGAGTCATTAATTTTCAGATAATGATTGTAGAAGGAAGATAAACCAAAATATGTGTGTAAAAATAAAAAAAAATTAAAAAAAAAATTACCTTGTTTTATAAAGTATCCTCCCGACAAGTATTTCAGTGCGGACCTGTATTTGATCGTGAGGTCCCCTGTGAGGTCTTAAGTCACCTGATTCACGAGCCCGTTGTACTACATTAACAAAGGCACGAGGGGTTGGTTGCACTCGATTGGGAAACCGATCCGCATAAACATGTGCCATTTTTTATTTCGTTTGAGCCACGCAACAGATACCACTATTCACTGACACTGACTGTATACAAATGAATGAAATACTTGTAAAAACATCGTTCCAAATTCTTTCGCTTTTTTGTTTCCGATGCGATGAACCGATACGGCGGATTATATCCGTTGTCGCCAAACACGAGCACATGATATTATTATTGAGACAGGGCGGTACTCAAACTTCCAAAGGGTTATAACTTTGTTACTTTAATTTTACCAGAAAAATGGTAAAGGAAAAAAACATTTCTTTTGATCAGATCTACTCACTGTTAAAATAAATGACTCAACTTCGAAGTCACCCTGTATAAGTATGGGTACGATATTCAACCAAAGCTTGCGCTCCGTATTGTACAGATTTCAGACTTTTTCTGAACGCAAAAAATTGCGTCATTATACATTGATGTAACAAAGAAATTAAGATATTGTACAACCACTATTTTTAATGAATGTGCATGAAAATAATATCCCGTAACTAAAAATATAAAATATACAGTTATAATAACACTATTTGGTTGCTAAATACGTTATTAAGATATTAATTAAACATTATCTCATGTGATAAAAAATAACAATAAAAAGAAACTTCAATTGTTTGGAGGTCGAGACCTATATAGGCAGATAATATTAGCATTAAAAGTGAAAGTGCAAGACATATGTTTGCTTTTATCTGTTGCACTTGTATCTTAAATGATATTATTGTCAAAGCTTATGGACATTAGTCAAAAGAAATTGCTTAGGAAGACGTTGCAAAACGAATTAAACGAGGCGTTTAAATATATAGTATACAACAGGGAGGAGAATGTGCACATTTCTCCTATTTCTTGCTTTCAGATATTCAGCAGTAAATTAGAATAAAATAGATAAGCGATGTCAATGTTTAAATTGTCCCAAATGGGCAGTTATGACGTATGAACAAAAAAAACTAAATCATAATAATTCTTTCAAACCTCTGATGGATATAATTTTATTTACTATATATATACTAAGTGACATATAAATCCGAACACCCAGTTTAAATGGTTTTATTTTAATAAAATTTTGTATAAGTACCTAATGAAGCATAATAAGTAAATGATAAAAATTTCAAAATGATTGCACTGCTTTAAAGCCCTTTGACCTTTAATAATGTGTGGATGCACCCTGATGTGCTACGCATTCTCCAACGTGCCTAGGCATGCTTCTGATCAGGTGGTCAATGTCCTCCTGTGGTATCTCATTCCAGGCAATCACCAACTCCTCTCGAAGTGCTTCTAGAGTCTGAGGAGGACGTTGCAAATTGAGCAATCTCCTACCCATCATATCCCACACGTGCTTAATTGGGGATAAGTCGAGAGATATTGGTGGCCATGGTAACAATGTGACATCATTATGTTGAAAGAAGTCTATTGTGACTCTTGCAACATGTGATCGGGCATTATCTTGTTGGAAAGTTGGATCTGCCAGGGTGTCAAGATAGGGTAAAAGATGGGGTTCTAGAACTTCGTGGATATAACGCTGCGCGTTCATGTTACCTCTGATGAAGATTAAAGGTGACTTGGAACCATAAGCTATAGCACCCCAAACCATAACTCCAACAGTGTGATGAACATGTCTTTCAACAAAAAACTGT